ATTTCGAAGTGTCAGAGGTTTTGAAGTAGTTAATGTAGCACAGGACCAGTCTCACAGAAGAGAGAAGTGGTTACTTTTTCTCAGAAAAGTTTCTTGTTCTCAGAAAAGTGTAAGTTATTATCAAGGAGTAAGAGTCTTTAGAAGAATTAAGGCAATGGTGTTTTCTTTATTAGAGTAAATAATGATTACTCAAGAGTTGTATCGGTTGGCAAGCCTGAGTTTGTTTTGGCCATGAGAGCTGCTGTAGTGTTAAGCTTAGCACTAAATAGGCTTCACTTGTGCTCGCTGGTAACTGCGACAGGAAGTTTAGCCAGGAGTAATACTCAGCAGAAATGAAGCAGCTTCAGCTTAACTGAAGTTTGGTTGAGGTGATGATGCTGTTTGGGTAATGAAGTGCTGTGGGAATACATAAAACTCAGGAGGGAGTAATGCTCTTAAAGGTCTATGTACTGAATTGGCAGGAGCTGAGCCAAGGGTGCCCCTTAGGTATGCTGAGTCATGTGCCTAAAGTGTGCCATGACTTAGTGAGGACTGCTGTGGGACAGAGCAGTGCCAGCTCGGCTGTGATGAAACAGCATGTGATGTGTCCGTGCAAGAGCATGCTGCCTCCAAATAACATGTTTGTGAGGGAATTTGGGCTGTGCTTGGAGCCTGCACCAAAGGGCTCCCTCAGAGAGCACAGAGTTCAAACTGAAAGCAGAGCAGTTTGCCTGTGTGTCATTGTGTGTGGAACTTGATGCCAGTGCGTGTTGGTACAGACTGTTCTGCATTTTACAAACGTCTTTTGTCCACAGTTGAATCTGCAGAGGACATGTGGAAGACTCTGGTTGCCACAGACATAACACAGCTTGGACATGAGGCTACGTCAGCCTCTGCATTGTCCAGCAGAGCGAGGAGGGAGTGGTTGTTCCAGGGGTTTGTGGAATAATCAGGTCTTTCCCTAAAGCACTGGCAGGGTCCCAGAGGAGACAGGTCACCGATCTGATTACAGCGTGACATTTCCAGGCTGGGTTGAAGGATGGAATTTCAAGGATTTCTTGGGGGCTGGGAGGCCCAGAAGAGAAGAGAAATTTTTCCAGGTCGTTCTAGATGTGAGTAAAACAGCTTATGCAGGGGTAAACAGGAGGGTGAGACTTGCATACAGGTACTTTATATTTTCAAACTCAGAAATAACAATATGAGTTTCAGTGTAGGATTCAAACTCTGCCTTGGGGCATCTTCATTCTTAATTACACCTTTTTATCTTCCAATTTATGGAAGACAAAAAAGTGTAATTTTTTAGTTTTAGTTTTAACTTTTTAGTTTTTTGCTTTCTTGGGTTTGACGTATCTCTTTTCTTTAATCATGCACAAAGGTATGTGTATGGAGATACATTTTTCAGTGTTAGAAGCTATTTGTGTGTGAAATAGTGAATTGAGTGTGGGTTAAAAATGTAATATTATGGAGAGGTGGGCTTTTTAAATAATTATGTCTTTTGTAATTTTTCACATTCTTTATTATTTGCTTACCTCTGGTATAATGCTGAACATAAACATTTTTTAAAAAAGCATTATACTATAAAAGTGAATATACTTTTCCTGCTGCACATGTTCAAAGTGTTCTCTTTCTATAGTGGTGATGGTTCCAATAGCAGACAGTGGTAGTGAAACTGTCTTATTTCCACTGTTTAATTGCCATTTGTAATGTCTCCTATTCAAAGTAGCTCTTTGAAGTTAGAGACTGGTTTTTCCCAGTTATTTCTAAAGTCGCAGTGAGTCACAGACCTTGATACAAAGCACAGTATCTTCAGCAGCTTCACCTCTCTGCATCTGTGAGCTTTGTGCCTGGAAGAGATTTACATTGTATCTATCTCAGTGCTTGGCTCTGCTCCCTGGTGTGAGGGCTGATCTGGGGGAAACAGGGCCGTAAATGTGGGAAGCTGTGCCAGCACCAGTGCTTGCTTTGGTGCTTGTGAATGCTCAGTCCCCGGGATGCCATTGCTGTCCTGTGTGGGATCAGGAATTTCCACAGGTGTGTGCTGATCTGCTGTGGAGTTCTTCAGAAGCACAGGGCTCGTTGTTCCAACAGCTGTTCTTGTCTGTGGGGAGAAGGTTGGCTGCATCCCCCCAGTCAGCCATCTGGTGCAGCAGCCACATGGTGTTGCAGTAGATAGCTTTCTGAGGTTTCTCACAGCTCTGTGTGCTGTTGTCAGTGCCCTTCTTTTGGCATTTAGGCACCAGGACACAGGCTCAGACACTGTAGGGTCTCCCAGAGCTGTGCTTATGTACAAGCTTTGCTTCCCTCGTTCCCCAGCCTTTGGAGACCTGTCTTGGCACAGGATCATGGATGCCACTAATTAGTGCCTTCATCTCCAGACTCCCCAAACTTCTCTTTCAACTGTTGAATTTGTAAATAAATATGACCTATTTCATTATGCCAGAGGTACAGGTAGCAACAACATGGCTCTGTTTACTGGGGTTTTTGAATTAGTTTACTAATATTAAAGTTGCATTCAGCTCCTTCCTTCCAGTTCACAGCTTGGAATAGTGGTGTCTCCATGCTCACATCTGCTTTCTAGACCTGATGGTACAGCTTCATTTTAGCTTCTGGTTTTAAGTCTCCTCAGTTAATAGAAAACTTCTTTTCCTGAATGCTTGGCTAATAATTTAAGTAGACTGCTCAGTTTGTTTCTGAATTGCAGAGAAGTCTGGGAAATTGTTGCTAGATATTCTAATAGCAGTGTGGTCAAAAGGAAGAACTATGATTCAGCTCTTAAATTTTGATCCCCAAAGGATATTTCATAGCACAGCCATACATACAGTAGATTTACCAAGCTGTTTACTGCTTTTTTCAGAAGGGTTTCTGTAGAGTTTCTGGGTAAGTTCTGTTGCAGATTTGATTTACAAAGGATAGTAAATCTTGAATGCTTGTTACCAACATTTACTTAGCATATAGGAGGGCAGGTAGCCAGGGAAGGCTTGAAAATAAATTTGCTGAATGCTTTAGGATATCATCTCTCTGTTTGGTAACCTGGAAGTGTAGAAGATTTCATTTGGGTTGTGGTGATCATTAGTAATGAAAATGATTTGAGCCTTTGCTGACAAGATGGAAGAAAATGGCTGATTTGCCATTAAAGAGGTATTTTGGAAGGGGGAACCCTGAACAACCTTGACATCTTGTTGTGCAATGCTGGTTTAGGGTTAACCACATATGGTGCCACCTCTTCCTTGTGCCACCCTGCCTGGGTAATACTGATTTTTCTATTGATTCCTTATTGCTGGGAACCAGAGGCTGTGTGGCATTGTATATTGTCTTTTGAAAAGAGAAATAGTTATTTTTTCCCTAGAATTCATAAAGCATCCTGAGCTGGAAGTGACTCAGAGGCATCATCATAGTACAACTCCTTTTCATTAGCTTTAGAGCTAAAGTTAGGTGTTTGATGAAACTCAGCTGAAAGCTTAACAAGTAACACTTCATTGTTTACCTTGGCAAAGTAGTGTTAACTGTGGACAAGATTGCTCTAAATTCTGACAAAAAGAAGCCTGTTTCTTTCCAGAAAAAAAGTGGCAGAAGCTTTTTATTTTAGCATTAGAAATTTTTTTCTGTTTTAAAATGCCTTGACTCTGAATTGCACAGGTCTTGATACAAAGTTTCTCTCTTTGCCTTTAGAATTTAGACTTTAGTTGTAAACATTTTTTAAGCTGAAGATTTGATGAAAAGTTGCTTTTGCTAAGTGTCTGTTCTGACAGAAGCTCTGCCACAAGCAAGTCCTTGGTTTGAAACTGAAGCCAGTAGTGTGTGGAAAACAGAAACTAATATATATGGGTGGTTGGGGTGTTATTTTTGTTGTCATTTTGCTCCTTGATTTAGAAAATTGTTTATGAATATTCCACTGCTGAAAGTAAGCCAGACATCAGAAACTAGTTAATTACCAATTTTCCCTTTGATAATGGTTTTTTCATATCATGTGATCCATCTATTCTTGTACATTTCTACTCATATGAGTTCTACTTTTTTCCTGTCCCAATGCAGTATCTTGTCTTCCATTCCCTTATAATAAGTAATGTTTGGTCTTGTTAGTAATTTGATTTGGAAGTGCCAATAAGTAGTAAAGAGCTCCCAGCTTTTCTTCTATTGTAATTTCAGCGTGGTTTCTCTACAGAGTAGAGGTGTTGCTTTCTCTGTGAATGTCATCTCTATGCAGACAGTGGATGATAGAAATTGGGGTCACAAAAGGAACAGTTAAGGAACAATATCCAGTTATAAATGACTACTAGAAGTGGTTGTCCAGTTTTTGAAGGCTGGAGGTGCTGGATGGCAAACAGAGAGCAAGCTGGCAGTGCAGTTCCAGCAGGAGTGCATGGGCCAGGGTAACTGAGATGTGGCTGGATGGGTCTCTGTGCTAGCACAGAGCTCAGCACACGGGAGGCTGTGTGAAGGTGCTGAGCAGCAGCACAGTGTCACTGAGTGAGGTGTGAGAGCTGCATTGCACAGGATCTGACTGACCCTGAGCCATTCCTCCAGTCCCCCTCGAGGCTTGGGCAGCTCACACCTTTCTGGAGTCATTGGGTGCCAATCCAGAGCCCACTGGACTCTGAAGAAAGGCTGCTTCTGATAGAGGCTTTGGATGAAGCCTTGTCTAATAAAATTATTTAAATATTTAATTATTTTGTACGGTCAATATTGTACAAAAGTGGATTAGTGGAATTCTTTTTTATTCACATTTTGTTAATGTCATTTTGCTCATTTATAGAGAGAAAGCATAAAAAATGAAAAGCTAATTAGTCTTACAACTTCAATGTGACAGTTATCTTCCATTATTTATTTTAAACTGTGTAACCACAGAAATGGTTTACACTGGCTTTTCCAGAGCCAGAGACTAGCTGGAACTAAAGCAAGTCGTGACTCAGTCCTGTATTTAATTCAGCTACTCCTCAAGGAATGGTGCTGCCCTAGCACAAAGGAGCTCCCGTGCCTGTTCTGGTACAGAATGCTAACTCTGTGTTTCTGTTTTCTTCTAGGTTATGTTTCACACTATGTGCAGACTGTCTGTACTTACAGAAGATATTTAAAACCAAACAGACTTTTTTGCAAAATTTTGATTCCAGTGGAATCTGTGCTTTAGATTTTTGTCTTGTCAATTAACTGGTGAAGCAATGCCTGTACAAGCTCCACAATGGACGGATTTTCTCTCCTGCCCGATTTGCACACAGACTTTCGACGAAACCATCCGCAAGCCCATCAGCCTGGGCTGCGGCCACACTGTCTGCAAGATGTGCCTCAACAAGCTCCACCGCAAGGCATGTCCCTTTGACCAGACCACTATCAACACAGACATTGAGCTCCTTCCTGTCAACTCAGCCTTGCTGCAGCTTGTGGGTGCTCAGGTATCCCTGCTTTTTGTTGGTTTTAAATGTTTCAGCATTTTCCTTCTTTTGGGAGGATAAGTCAGGAATACTAAAGGGTATGGTATTGTCTTAATGATGTCAAGAGAAGGCATCTACCTTTTTGTACATGTCTGCAAGAAGTAGTAAAAGTGCCTGGAACAGCAGTTTAAATCTTTATTGTGCTGGTGACCATGACTTTTGTTACATCTAATTCCATGGGCTGTCACCAGGGCAGGTTTGTTGTGTTTGCTTCCTTCTTCCTTGACTCCTGCCTAGCCATGCTCTGCCAAAAGGATGAGCTGGATCAGTGAGCTTATTTTGTGGAAGACATTTTTCTGTGGTAGGTTATGTGCTTTACTGTATTCACCCAGTGAGACCTGTGTTTGGTTGTCCCAAAAGCAGGAGGGGCGTGTAAAGGATGTGGGACAGATCTATCTGTTAGCAGCCTTTATACAGCCTTATTTGAAACTATGCAATGGGAACACAACTTCCTGAGATGACATGTTACTCTAAATCTATAGTGGTGAGGGGGGAAGCCTGCTTGAGACCCCCTCTTTTGCTGGAGTAGGTACTGGTGAGGTCAGCTGAAGTGGTGATATGATGGGGATGAGTGGCACTGGGACTGACAACAGCCCCAAGAAGGAGCAGGGATGTGTGGAAAGCAGGGTCACCCTGTTCAGTTGTAGCACACAATTAAGCTGGCAGAACCTTATGGATGTTAGGTCAGGGGTAGCTCCCTGTGACCCACACCTTCCAAGGCTTGTGGACAGCATTGTGGTCTTAGGAGAGGAGGGATAATCCTGTCTAACTTATGGGTGAAGAATGAAAATGTATCTGGGATGCAGTTATCATAAAGGGATTACTGCTTTATTCTGTACTGCTCCAATGTCTGGGAAATTAAATGCAGCAGAAACTTCAATGAGATCTGTAGTCTGGGAGAAAAGAAAGAATTGTGGAACAGCTATAAAAAGTGTAGAGGAAAGAGATGCTGTTATGTTACCTTTTATTAGGTACTGTGACTTAAAGATCCAGGTGTGCTTTTGCCACTTGTTAGTTTATCAGGTAATCTGGCTAATTTGTTGTTTTTCTTTTGTGGTGTATGGCATAGGGGTTATTTCAGAAGCTCAAAATCAAATGGTGTTTCTGGCTGTGCTAAGTGACTCATCCTGCTCTGCAGGAGGAAGCAGTGAGATTGTGCACTCCCATTTCTGTGATATGCTGCCATCTTTGAAGAGCTTCCAAGCAGTATTAAATCTATGGGTGATGTCATTAAAAAAGTTACAATTCTCTGTCTCTTACATGTTCTTCCTCTCGGCAGTTTCTTGAATATTTCCAGTTGCATCTGAATGTCCACATTTGTGATAAATGTCTTCCCCTTGCATTTGGTTATTTCGTGTGCACTTGTTAAGCTTTATGAGAAGCTGTATGATAGCTTCAATTTGACCTCTGCCAGAATTTAAATTTTTATGAAAACAAGATTCTGTAGAATGAGATGGAAATCCACCCTGCTCTGTATAGGTAACAGAATTTTTTCTGGTTTTACTAGTTAGCCAGCTAGAGTTTTGTGTGAGGTATAAAGCAAGGTTTTAAAGTTGAGTGCTCTCGAGACAAACACTATACTATAAGTTCTGACTTGGCACTAATGATGTCATTTTGTGCTCCCTTTTTATCCCTATTGTGGGATGAAGATTCACAGGACCTTGTTTCATCATGACCTTAAAGCTGCAAATGCCACCAAATGATACATTATTGCCACCCCTGTTCTTTGCCACTCATTTCTCATTGTTGGCTACTCCCAGCAGTGTGTTACCTGTAACAGTAACCATGGATCCTGGCTATTTATTTCTGACAAACTTTCCCCTTAAGAGACCTTTGAAGCCTTTTCCTTGCCTGCTCCTCATTTAAAATGAACACGTGAATGAAATCAGTGTTCAGTACAGCTCACTCTCCTTTCTCTTCCCTTTCCCATCCTGGCAGCTGTTGCAGTGTTTACCAGACACTGGATTACTAGAAAATGAATACAATTACTTTCCTGGGAAGGACAGGGAAACATTTGCTGTTTTCCAATAGACTGTCTAAGGCCATTTTTAAAAATTTTTTATAAAAAAAGGCTTGCTTAAGGACAAATTAAAAAAAAAAATACTTTAGAGAAAGTAGTGATTTTGAGCTGTCCCACTAAGAGTGTACTCTTCTATTTGAGCAAAATGGTCTGTGAGCAGCAATTCAGCTTTCAAAGCATGAGTAGTGTCAACTTCAGTTGAAACCACTTCCATTTGTTTTTCCACTTCTGGATTTAGTTTCAGGAGCATGTATATGTCATTAGGGTCCCATGTACCTTTAACTAAGTCCACAGAGACCAGTAATATTTTATTTGTAAATGCTAAATTCCAAAAAAACAGGTTTAATTTTGGAAGGAAATACAGTAAAGCCCAACTAAAGCTTTTATCTGTAAGGGAGAAGAACAGTTTGTTCTTTTCCCTTTGGAGTAACTTCTGAGGAATTCACACATTTATACTTGTTAAGTGCTTGTTTGCTGGGGATGGAGGAGGAGACCAGGCAGTTTAAAGAAACAAATCTATTCTGCTGTGACTGGCAGCAGTGACAGGATTCCAGGGCAAGTCACTTTGGCTTTTGCACAAGTACAGCCAGTGAAATAAGCAGGATTCTGCTTCTGGGGAAAACACTGAATTTGTCACAGGTCACCAGGAAAGCTTTCTCTGATGGTAGCATTCTCTCTCTGGATAGAATTTGTCACTCTAACAGTGAAAAGAGTTGGTTTCTTACTTGAATTAGATTCTTTCTCAGTTTTCTCTCTCCTCACCCCTTTCTGAAATGAAACCCATAGCCCAGGTTATAGCCACCCTTTGTGGGGAATGTGCTTTTGCAGATTCAGATTTTCTGCCTGCTCCCCTGTAGCATGGCTCACATCAACACTGCTTACAGGGCTGTTCTGGAAGGCAGTGGGCTCAGAATAGAATAGAATCCCAGGATGGCTTGGGCTGCAGGGACCTTTAGAGCCATCTCATTGCAGCCCTGTGCTGTGGGCAGGGACACCTTCCACTATCCCAGCTTGCTCTAATCCAGCCTGGCCTTGGGCACTTGCAGGGATGGGATATCCACTGCCTCTGGTTAGGTAGTTCAGACCATGTCTAGTTAAGTTTTGTTCCATAAAATGAGGGGAGCAGAGGGATCAGAAAGGCAAGATGAGAATTATTATTCTTGTGAAAGCTGGACATAGCTGAGTACCTAAGCAGGAGCCATGAGGGAAGGGAGACACAATGGACACAAACCAGCAAGGCATTCACAGCATACCTTGCTTCTTAGGCTTCCTGGGTAAAGGAATCACTTCAGTTTGTTTCTGTGAGAATAAGGTTTTGAATTTTAGCTATTCAAGCATCCCCATATTACTCACTATATGTAACTATTTTAAGCATTCACCTGGCTAGTGTTTTGAAAATACCCAATCATGAATCTGTCATCTAAACTCTTCCCTCCTGTTTTTTCAACCATGCAGCAGCAGCAGGCACATTCCAAACAGGTGATGTAGAGTGGCAGAAATGCCTGTGGTGCTTTAATTTTGGAATAATCTGCTGGACATGATAAACACAATTCTAGACACTGGAATTGTACATGATGAGGGACTGGGTGATCTTAATTTACAGCCCTTTCAAAAGGGGAAGGTTGAAAGTGCAGAGCTCTTAGAGGCACGTGTGATATTTTTTTTATTTTAACTTCTGATGAAATAAAGTGCCACAAAAGAGGAATCATCTGTGGAAAAAGTTGTCTAATGTAAACTTTTGAGGAACTAAAGACAGTAGGCTTTGGGTTTTGTTTGGTTTCTCTTGGCAGGAAGCAAATCATTCATTTGCAGGGAGGAGGAGGGAAGTATTGCTAGAAACAGTTTTCAAACCGTACAAAAAGGGGTTTGGTCTGTTTAACATGTTCTCATTCTGTGCAATTAGATGTCTAATGGTAATTACTGACAACTCAAGCTGACTTTCTTCATCAAATTACACTTAAATCACCAATTCAGAATCACTGCCTGGTATGAGATGATGCTTTAGCATTCTTTTCCTGTCCCCTTCCTTATGCTGTCATAACCTGTCTCTTCCCACAGCCACAAGCCATGCTGATGGGTAACATTCCACTGTCAGGATACTTGCAGTCATTGCCAAAGCAGATACATGCAAAACCATCACAGATTGAAAGCAATTAAAGAGCTGAGATCATTTTTCCTGTGTTGCTCTCATCCCCTTTGGGAGGTGTTGATTACATGATGTGAATATATTTGCAGGGGAAGCTGTCACAAGGGTGTGATGTCTGAGAGAACAGAATATGGACTGAGTGTGAAAATAATGAGCTCACTCTGTGGGGCATCTATTCTGGGGCTCCTGAGAGGCACTGTAAACAGCAGTAACCATAGGGTCATGCATGCTATTAAAAGGCTATTTTGGGAAGGGGAAGTGAAAATGCTTTTGAGTTGAGTTATTTCTCACTTGGCCCTCAGCAGTTTCATGATGGAGCCAAAGTCAAAAATTCACATTTCCTGTCACTTATAAGAATTATGTCTTCATGATTTTTCCTTGGGTAGATACTATTCTTACAATTATTCTAATCCTAAAATATTAAAATAACTCTTGGAAGTGTGTGTAATACAACCAGCAAAAGGAAAATTACTTGTAAATTTTGTTGTGAAGTGCACTGCATGCATGAAGTGTGTGCATGAAAACTAAATTCTTTTCTCCTGAGCATTCCTGAAAACCAGAGAAAAAGCACGTTTTACTCTTCAGTACTACACTTACTCCAGCTTCAGATAAAAGTTGAATCTCTTTGGGGCTCATTTTGCAAACAGTGCAGTTGTACAAAGCATTTAGATTTTTACATTGAAGCTTCCCTTCAAAAGAGAAGGAATGGGAACAATATGCAGATAGAGTTTGAATAGCTTGATTAGCTCTTAGAAGTTTCTCTCTGCCAGCCTTTCCGTGGGGGAAGGGAAAGCTTTCTGTTAGTTGCTAGACAGTCCTTGTGTCTCACTGGTGGAGTTGTGCTGTGTCTGGCATTCCAAACCAGTGCTTTGAATGTGTGCTAAACCCACTCCAATTCAGGGTTGAAATCCAGGGCTGAGCGTGGCTTCCTGTGCCACGTCTGTTCCCAGCCCCTTTCTCTGTCTGTCTGTCTGCTGGGGCTGGGACCCTGGCACTGTTTGGGCTGGCAGTGGTGCCACAGGGAATGCTTGCAGGAGAGTTGGAGTTTGTACAGAGTGTGGGACTGCAGGAAAGGGCAGAGATGGGGCAGGGTCTGGATACGCTTGGGATGTGTCCTTTGCTCAGTCAGCCAGTTCTGCCACGTAACTGCCCTGGCAGAAGCAGACTGCTCACATGGCAGTGCCTGGGGAAAGGAGCAGTGGAATATTCTCTTCAGTTGCAAATATTGCAGTAGTTAATAATAGTTTCCCAAATCCCAAAAAACCACTCAAGATAAGGTTGTTGTGACGATTTACAGCTGACCGCTCTAACATACAGAGTTGCGAAATCTCCTCTTGCTGACAATATTCTTGCTTACAGACAAAAAAACTCCCCAAACCCAAAAACCAAAATACCCCAAAGAAATGCTGGCCCAAAATTAAAACCAGAACCCCACAGAACATTACAGGTTAACTTCCATTAGTGATAAATATCAAGGCTAACCTTGTTGTATTGGTGTGATTGGACTTGGGTTTTCTCTTTAGTAAGAACGGAAGCCTGGATCAGACACAGCCTCTATCTTGTTTATGTTAGTTTGAGATGATACTATGTTAATTCCAGCTGACATGTTGCATTTTGAGACTTTTCTTTGTTACCTGCTTGCTGCAAAAGCAAGATAGTAACTTTTTATTTTGCTCTATGTGTGGAATGAGAAACTTAGCACGGTGACACAGTTGACTAAGGAGAAGTGTGATCATATGATTGAAGCATTGGTTTTTATTAAAACTTATATAAAAGCTGTTCACTGGTGATGGCAACCCTATATGTGTATATATATTTTTTATATATATTTGCTGCTTTTATGTGGTGTTACCATCATAATGCTGCTCTTGCCATGGCTGCATTGCACATGAAGGTAAGCAGGTTTGTCTCTGTATTTAACTGAAGCATTAAAGGCTTTTGCTTTTAGATTGAAGGCCTAGGTTGGTCCCTCTAAGCAGCTATGTGGGATTAGCATGCTGTTGTTGCCACTGGGATGGGGATTGACTTGGAAATAGAAGTCTGAGATATATTTGCACTTCGATAACAAAAAGAAAAAGTGCTTGTGTTTAGTCTTCTGAGGAATTCCAGTTCTCTGTACTATCATATTGGGTTGACTGCTGGACAGTGATGTTGGGAAGTTAGTACAGTGCTATACTGCATCCTCAAATTTGATGAAAGCTTTGAAAGTTTTCCAAGAGGAAATTAGAACCAAAATTATAATTTGGAGGGGTGTGGTGCGAATCCCTTTAACAAGTCCTGATTTCTGGTCAATGTCTGGAAGAAGAAACAAATGTTACCTGATAAAAACCCAGCACAAAAGCCCAAGGATGTAGTTGGCTTCTGTCATCAGATAAATACTCACAGGATGTGTTTATGTAACTTGGTCATGCTTTGTAACTGTGGCTACTCAGAATATGTTCCAGGGGTGTCTTATGGTATTTGCTGCTAAGTCTTTGTGCCACTAATCTTAAGTAGCTGCAGTCTCTTATCCCTGGATGGTTTTAGAGCTGTGAGGCTCTAGATACAGATTTGTACTTAGCAGCAGAGCAGGGTTCTCTTCAGTTTTTTTCTTCCCCCTGAGATTTTTGGCCAGTCAGCTTTGGGGATGTTTCAATGTGTTCTATTTTAGCCAAAGTTTTATAGTTTTAGGAAGTGCCATGTTAAGCCTTCTGCTTCTAGTTCCTTTCAGCCACTAAATAAGTCTCTTAAACATAAATCCTGTATTTTTGTTTTCATTCTCACTGGGGTTTCTTACACTATTTGTTCACTAAATAAGCTGAAAAAATGCTAATACACCAAAATCACAAAAAGAGAACAAAACAGGAAATGTGGTGTAGTAATAAATGTTTGTAAGCATGGTTGCCACTTATTTATGCATATTCATAGTAGATGTGCATGTCCTCTCTCCTCAGGTTCCTGAGCAGCAGCCAATTACTTTATGCAGTGGAGCTGAAGATACCAAGCATTATGAGGAGGGCAAGAAATGTGTGGAAGAATTGGCATTGTACCTCAAACCACTCAGCAGTGCAAGAGGTACTTCCTGCATTGTTTCCTTGGAAAATGAAACAAAAAACCAAATAAGATGCAAAACAAACTATCCAAAGTATTAGTTAGTATGTTTGGAAAATGGATATAAATCTAGTTTAGAAACAAATTTCTTAAACATTAAGATTATGTTTTCGTGGAGGTGAGGGGGATGTAGAATTGAAAGGTGTCAAAAACAATTCAGAGAAAAGGCTGAGGTTTTTGACCATGCCATAGTGAGTTGAGACCATCTTTGATTTGATCTTTGCAGAATAAGTAAAAATAGATAATTTTACCTTTTTTCAGTTTTGCTTTGTGATAATTGTAATGATGCAGCTGTTCTGTAGAGGATGAATGAACTCATAAGAGAAAGTTACTACATATAAGATAGATAAAGAAAATTATAAGTAATACTTGGTTTATACAAGGTCAAATACAAGAGCTGGGTCAATCTGGATAATTCTGTTAGAAAATCTGCACTGTGTTGAAGAGTATGGATTTTATATATATTACAAGTGCTGGATTTGGGCAGTCTGTCAGCCCAAGTAGTGAAGTTGAGCATCATGGGCATTAGGTTATCAAAAACTATTTCTTTGAGACGTTGTCTGAGTCTTTTATGACCAGTAGTGGGACAGCAGAATCACTCAGGGAATTGGTGGCCCAGTGAACAAGCTCTGGCTGTGGAGCAAACTCAGCATGGCAGCTGTTTGTCCAGTGAGTCACCTCTTCCTTTAACCTGAATTAGGTGGCTCTCAGTGTGTTTGTGATTCAGAGTTTTGACACAAAGTTAAACATCACCCAAGCAGCTCAGGACTCATTTAAGTTCTAAACCTAAACAGAGAAGGTACTACATGTAGGCAAGAAAGTGAATGTGTTCTGAAAACAAACAAATGTCCAAGTGATCCCTAAAGTCCATGAATAAGGGATGAACTGGGAATCTGTATGGGAGGGTGTTGGACACAAACTACCAACATGGGAAAAGGATTCATTAGAGGTTCCATCTTCTTAAAAAGCCAGATCAGTCAATCACAAGATTAAGCCTGTGGGGAAGCTGACTACCAAAAAACTGCTTTTATTGCCACGTGAAACAAGTAAAATGAACTTATGATTGCCTTAACTAGTATTGCCTTTGACAAAATGGACACCAGGAGAGCTAGGTTTGCACTTATCCAGTACAATCACTGAAGACTGGCACAAGAAGAGGAGTATGAGGTAGTTATGATTCTGTTTCATTTTGTTTTGAAGGTGTGGGCCTTAACAGCACGACCCAGAGCGTGCTGAGCCGGCCCATGCAGAGGAAGCTGGTGACATTGGTGCACTGCCAGCTGGTGGAGGAGGAAGGGCGCATCAGAGCCATGCGGGCAGCGCGCTCCCTGGGTGAAAGAACGGTCACAGAGCTCATCCTGCAGCACCAGAACCCTCAGCAGCTCTCCTCCAACCTCTGGGCTGCAGTGAGAGCCAGAGGCTGCCAGTTCCTGGGGCCAGGTAGGAGACATCACACTGGCACTGCTGTGCTAGAAGCACTTCAGAATTCAGCCATTGATAAATGGCTGTCCAATTGCCCAAGGGATTTTATTAAGCAACAGCCTAATTTCTTAATAGTGATCTTCAGAATTAATTATGTGTCTGTTGGGCTGCTGCTGTTGGGTTTTCTTGTATTTTTAATGCTTTTTCAAGTGTTCTGTAAAATTCAGAATAGGTGTCCTTCTGTTCTTGTCTATTCCTTGAAGATCTTTCTAGAAAAAATAAGGTTACTGGAAGTGACTGACATGGCTTTTTTTCCTACTTAGGGTAATAAACATACAAAACATTTGTAGGGATAGATTTGTTTCAGTTATGTGTACACATTTTTAAGAAGTTGTGCATTTGTAAATTAAATTGTTTTGCTTAAAATACTAGAAAGAAATCAATGATGCTTAAAAAAAATGAAGTCTCGTTATTGAAAAAATAACTTCACTTGTTGAGTCTTGAAATATGAAGCCAATGTCTTAATGAAAAAATAGTGAAGCTTTTCCTGACTGAAACAGATGAAGACTGATTTTGAGATACTAACTTTCATACCAGTTCAGGGAAGAGAGAGGTTGGTTATGTAGCAAAATAGCAGTGCTGCAGCCTGGTTGATTGGTGTGGGCATTCTTTATTTATGGAAATGAACCTTGCTCTTCCTTAGCCTGTCAGCTTTTCCTTCTGGGATAAGTGTGGGATGTAGGCAATACACTTTGAAAATTCCTATTAATGATCAAGAGATGTACAGACAGGAACCTTCTTATCAGATGATGCCCAAAATAGATGATGTTGTAGTGGTAGCAGTAATAATATTAATATAATATACAATAGTAAATCATAATAATGAAAATAATACTAAAGGTAAAAAGTCCTGTTTTCCCAAGTCACAGTCTGGGAATCTGGAGGGGTTCCTTCTCTCTTTGCCCTCTCTTCTTGCCCAATTCCTTTTTTTCTCTGTGGCTTTGTGGTTCTGTTGGTGGGAGTTTTTAGCTGTTATCCCAATTGTAGCTGAACAAGAAACTGCAAAAATTTTACTTGGCCTTCTCTCATCTTTTGTCTCTTTTTGCATTTCTCCTGACTTCCAGCTATGCAAGAGGAGGCTCTAAAGCTGGTTCTGCTGGCTTTGGAAGATGGATCTGCTCTGTCACGGAAGGTCTTGGTTCTCTTTGTGGTGCAGAGACTGGAGCCACGATTCCCTCAGGCTTCCAAGACTAGCATTGGGCACGTTGTCCAGCTCCTTTACAGAGCCTCCTGCTTCAAGGTAGGAAGAAGATTCTGCCTGGAGGTTTTGTAATGCTATGAAAATCAATGGTTTTCTTTGTTTTCATTGTCCTGTAACATTTAATGTGCCTAAAAATATGTGTACTTAGAGGAAGTATTGCTCATTAAGTCCCACATGAATTTAGAGTTCTTTGTCATTCAGCTGTGGTGGCAGTGTAGGCTGAAATAGCAACTTGAAGCTGCAAAGATAGGTTTTGCCTTTGCCTGGTTTCATAGAGGTACTGTTACAAAACCCGGATGTAAAGCAGCATAATTACCTTCTTGGAAGTGGCTTAAAGCCAGAAAAATCACCAATTCTGTTAATTCAGTTGTGTTATGGTTAGAATCAAAGAAAAAGGAGACTTTTGGGTGTCAGCTATATGAAGAAAAACTGCTTAATGTACTTCTCGGTATTTAAGATCCGTTCCTAGATGCTCAACTTAAATGTCTTTTGCTAAATGAGTAGAAAAACACTTTGGTTTTGCTAATTGTACCCTCAAATAAAAGTCTGCAATGCAAAGAGAATATCTTGATTGAAGGTATGGATGCTGTAAAGTCATTTAGGAAGTGTGACACTTTGACTGGTATGTGGGCCAGAGTCCAAGTCAGCAGTGTTTTGTGTCCATTTTATAGTGGTTCCACTCTGTAAAGTGTGCATTACTTTGGTAGGAACTGCTGTTCACTGGGTGGTGTTATAGTTGGTTTTAGTTTGGGAGAAGGACTTAGATGTGACCAAAGACGTCACTTACCTCGACTTCACTAATCTTGTGCTTATCCTGCTTAATTGCATTTGGCTCATTTCCCCTGTCTAGGTGACCAAGCGAGACGAGGACTCCTCCCTGATGCAGCTGAAGGAGGAGTTCCGGACGTACGAAGCTCTGAGAAGGGAGCACGACTCGCAGATCGTCCAGATTGCCATGGAGGCGGGTTTGCGCATCGCGCCAGACCAGTGGTCCTCGCTCCTCTATGGAGACCAGTCCCACAAATCCCACATGCAGAGTATCATTGACAAGGTAAAGCCACCCACAACCAGCCCAGTCCATCTTGGTTGCAGCTGTTTGTAAATTGACCTTAGAAACTGTGCCCACGTGGGCTTGCCCAGTAATCATTTGTCCTGTTATTTCAAAACCCGTTACATCCTAAATAATTAGAATATATATTTGTAATCTAATGAATCTTACTTCCTCTGCCATCTGGACATTTTTGCTACTTTACTTCTTTATACAGATGGAAACCCACAAAATTTAGCTAAATAATTGAAGGGTGACCTTAATGAACAGCTGATAAGTGCCAGTGTAGTGACAGAGGCTAATGGTCCATGTTTCTGGGCCTGAAGTTAGCACATAAGTTGGAAAAAAAATGAGTCCCCATGTCTGTGTCTGAAGACAGACAGGTGGAAACACATTTTGTATGATAAAATACTTAAACTCTGGAAATGCCCAGATCTCCGTGTTCAGAAGCAACTTAGGATAAATGGACTTTTAGATTAGGGGATGCTTTTTTAAATGCCTAAGTTAGGTGGGAAGAACTGAACCTTGTTGAATCGTTATGAAAGCTGTGAAGCAACTGCTTTGGCTGCTGTGCAAGGGGATTAGCTTCAAGATAGTTTTTGCTGTAGATTTATGCCTTTGCCCACCTTTTGAATTGTCCTGCCAAACATCTCTTGAAGGATCTAGGTAGAATTAACAGTTTTAAAACTGGAATTGAGTGATGTTAGGAAATGGAATGTTGCTAGCTATCTTTTCCTTCAACCATCCTGGTCTATTTCTGCTTGCTGTACTCAATTTAAAGCAGGATGCAAGCCTGTTGGTTTGGGGTTTGGAGATATTAGACTCTCCAGAAATCTAAACTAAATGGTTTCCAATACGGCCCATTTTTTTTCTTGGGTAGCAGCACAACACAAAAGAAATGGGTTTTATTGCTAGAAATAACACCAGCCTTTATTTTGTATATTTCAAAGTGTAATTTAATGCAGTGTCAAAGAACTGTGCATTCTTAATAGATAGGGTGCACTGGAATGGGCTTCTGTGAAAGATCTTTATCTCTAGTTTTGAGAGACAGTCCTTGTCTGTGGAGCAGCCTTCAGAAACCATGAGGATTGCTATGCCTGTGGAAAGTTAATTATGGTCATTTTTTTAAGTTGCAGACCCCAGCCTCATTTGCACAGAGTGTTCAGGAATTAACTATTGCTCTTCAGAGGACTGGAGATCCAGCTAACTTGAATCGTCTCAGACCTCACCTAGAGCTCCTAGCAAATATTGATCCCAGTCCAGGTAAATCTGCGTGTTTTCATAGAAACCTTTAAGTTTCGCAAAATGAGCTTAACACTGTTCAAGGATTGAAAGCTGATCATCAAGTGTAAGGAAACGTCCTCCTTACTCATCAACTAAAGGGTTTTGGATTCCAAAGTAGAAATTTGATTGATTGAATAGAGAGAAGCTGGGCAAAAGTCAGTCTAGACAAGAATGGTTTGTTACCCTACAGAATTCAATGTTTTTCTTGTTCATAGGTAATTCTGCAAAACTAGGAGAGTAGAAGATAGTTGGAAAGAATTTAACTGGGAAATAGAAATTAAGCTGTTGACAGAGGAGAGAAAGATAGAAATTGTTGAAAAAGTCAGCAGTGCTGTAATGACTATCTGAGGGAGATGGGAAGGGACAGAACAAAGTCCTATGGCAGAAGTGTTATTTTATACCTGCTAAAATTTGTAAAATCAGTATTATATATCAAAATAGTAAAAAGATATAAACTACAGCTTCAGGAGATTAAAAATTGTACTTCATATTTGTTTAAACAAACAAAAGTTAAACTTCCTTTCCAGTGAGGACTAGTTGTACTTCAGAGCTAAAGGAGATGCAGTGCTTTCTTCCCAAATCTTACACACTGAAACAAGCTGGGGACAAAGCTGTGCACTGCAGATTTGTTTGCAAAAAACTGATCTGGAAGGTGGCATCACTAATAGCCTCCCTTGATTTCAGTAGCCAAGTCTGGTCTTTGTGGTTTTTTCTGTTCTGTTGAGCTGCCTAAAGAACAGCAGGGAAGCATGTTGAAGTACTTGTGGAAGAATTTAGTCCCTGTGACTGGAATATAATGTCATTAATTGTGCTGAAGATCTTGAAAGGCTCTTTGAGGTACTGTCTTTTGCAGCAGAGTGTGCAGGCACACAGTGGGAGTGTCAGCTGCTGGAACAGATTCAAAAACTTAGCAAAGTAAATTGGCTAAAAAGAAAAAGTGCTTCTATAGAATTGAGACTGTACAATTTATTCACAGTGGTTTAGATGGTGGTCTGATTCATAGGTTTGCCTTGTGATGTTTTTTCCACATGAGAGGCATTCATTTCTGTTGCTGTTCTACATCTGTGCCTGTGTAATCAGGCCAGGATGACTGTATTGTATGGAATAATTTTACCTCCAGAAGTTTGAATGCAGAGGGATTTTGAACCTGATGTTTTTCTAGGTGAGAAGAGTTTGTACAGTGCCTTAACTCTGGAGTTCTTGTGAGATGAGAAAGTTCTTGTAAAAGGAAATAAATTTACATGCTGATAATGGTCTTACTGGCTCATTCGGTATTTTGTGCAGTTCAGTCTTGAGTTGATAGATACCTCTATTCTATAAGAGCTAAGTGTCCCAGAATTAAGGTGCTGAATGATTTTTGTCTTCTGATGAAATGTTTTTTATAAACTTGGCTAGTCAAGTTTTGTGGTACTGTTGTGGGGTTTTGTACCTGGTTTTGGAAAATCTTTCTGATTTTTCTCTTTATGTTTGGTGTTTGCTGTCCATGCAACAGATGCTCCACCTCCAACATGGGAACAACTGGAAAATGGATTAGTTGCTGTGAGGACTGTGGTTCACGGCTTAGTTGATTATATCCAGAATCACAGCAAAAAAGGAACAGATCAACAACAGGTAAAACCTAAATCATTTGGGAAATATGTACCCCTAAGTTTAATTGGCTGTATCTTATAGTAGAGGTTTACTAATGTCATCAGGAAAGATTTGGTTTGACAGGAAGCTAATTGAAAACATCACTGCAATTCATATTTATCAAAAAAGAAACAAGAAAGGAAAAAACATGAAATAACACATATTTACCTCGGAAACCTGTTGAAGTGATTTTCAGAGCTCACTAGGATGGAAGGAGAACAGTCTGATCCAGCTGCAGGCTTAGGGAAATGAATAACAACCTTCCTGAGTAGAGGGTGGGGAAGGGACGCTGGGTGCTGCTGTGATTTGTGGGGATTTTCTTGGTTTTGTTTTAATGTGACATATTTTAGTCAGCTGGCCCTCTGTTAATGAAATCATCCTTGTACCTGTGCTGAGTGGTCTGTCGAGCTTGAAGATTTAACAACAGTTGATATGAAGGTGCAATCCAAGTTCCTGAAACAAATTTTTTTGTTTCAGCAATGACAATATAATTAATATATTAACTTCTCTCATAGTTACCTTATCACACATTCCTTTGATGTAATTTTATTGTGTAGGTCAATTGATGTAAATGCTGCTGAAGTGCAGAGCTGCCTGTCCCAGTCCTACTTCTCTGTCTCCTTGGCACTCATCCTCTTGGAGAGCTGGTTTGGGGAGCTCAACTAGTAAAAAGATTATCTCTGCCAAAAAAAAAAAAAAATTAAAGTGAATTATTTCTGCTGTTTCATCTTTTTGCATTACTTGGGATGGATAATAAGCACTGTCACCAGCAAAAGGAAAAACAGTAGAAATGCATAAGTGGGAATCTGGGAGGGGAAAACATCGAGTTTTTGTTGTGGAGAGCCTGTGGTACTTGCTGTGCTGCTTGGAAGGGAGCCTGGAGCCTGTGAGTAGGAAAGGGAGGTCTGGGTAAAGTTGCTCTGCTTGGCAACAGTGGCCAGTAAAAGGTTGTGTGGCTTATGTTCACTCTGCCTGGGTCTTCCCACTGCAGTAGAAGGCAAAGAAACCCCAAAACAAGCCAAACAAAAACCAAACAAACAAACCCTCCCAAAACCACACCAAAATAAAACAAAAAAAACCCAACAGTTTGCAGGTGGCTTCTGACAGGTATTCACCTTTTGGCTTCCCAGAAGGCCTGTTGACTTTTACAGATGTTTCCCTTGCTGAACTATCGAAATGGTATATCTGATTACTGGTAATTTTTTCATCATGTGTCAGTTTTGTCCTCTTAACTGTGTCTTAAAATGTACAGCTGTGTTCCAGTCAAGCTCTCCAGTAAGGAGTTTGAACAAAAATGCTGTAGAAAACTGAGAGTGACTTAGTTGTCAAAACATGTACTCTTGAATCTGTTGGTTCTGTTGAAGAACCAAACCCAAGTACTTCAGTCACTTATTTCATGTCAGCTATTCCAGAAACACTTTAATTAGAGGAATTATCAAAGTGAAACTCCAGGCCTTTGATAAGATGATACATTCAGCTTGGCTAAGTGATTTTCATGTTCAGGTATCTCACCTGGTCTCTTTACCCTTGTCAGCCCCCTCAGCACAGCAAGTACAAGACATACATGTGCCGGGACATGAAGCAGAGAGGAGGATGTCCCAGGGGAGCCAGCTGCACCTTTGCACACTCACAGGAGGAGCTGGAAAAGTAAGTGTTCTTCTAGTAGAAAGCAGTCCAGTCTTTGTTTCATCTTGTCTATAAGAGTTCTTTCTCCTTTTTTGGTATGTGTGGGAAATGAGGTATAACCTAGCTGTTAAACTAGTAAGAAGTTATATGATAAACTTGTAACAGTCGTTTCTTAGATTTTGGAGCTACTTGTTCTTCCATACAGCTGGATATTTGCTTTGTTCATCACTAATGCAGCTCTGAAAGTTTGATGTTACACAAGTGATAGCCAAAGTTTTGGGAGGTGGGCTGTTTTCCCTACTTCTTAAGTGTGTGATGGCATTCACAGTGGCTTTTGTTTGTGGGTACTTCTCCTCTTCCCTTTTCATTCAGGTAGGTTGCTGGCAGTTTTCCAGATGTAAGGAATGTGTTGCTAGCTCTCCAAAGGGCTAAAAACAAACAATTCAAGATTTTTTTCCTGCAACAATTCTTTGTGCAATCTGTCAAAAAATTTCATGCAGGTACTTTCAATAGGTTACATCTGTTGTAAAGTTAAAAAATGATGCTCATATCAAATCTGCAGTCTAGATCCATTACAGATTTAGGAGGGTTACTAGTTACGCAAGAGCAAGATTCTGTTGTTCTGCAGGTTGTTTTAATTTCTTTTAAGTAAAATGGATTATTTAGGAGCTAAAATAAATAAATACAGTGTATTTTGTGTAGTATATTAGCTCGTTACTTGCTTTAAAAATTCAAAGAAAAGGTGCTTTTTAATGAGAATACTGCAAAGGCTCAGGATTGGCATGCAGTGTTTCTTTTTCATTTCTTAATCTGAAGCTCAAAGCATTAATGTCAGTTCGTGGCCTCTATAGCCAGCATGCAGTGCATAGACAAAACACAGAGAAAGAAGAGCAGGGCATGTGGTGTTAGAATGACAAAGACAGTTATTCATATGAACAAGGAATAGGACTCTAGTATTTGTGTGCTGCAGAAACAGTTGAAGAGTTTTTTGCCTTCTGTCATCATGCTAATGAAATGGAGTTTGGCAGTGCAGCTTTGGGGATGATTTTGTTGGCCTGTGTTGGGTGGTGGGTCAGTGTTACAGCCCTGAGCCAGCTGTATGTATCAAGGACTGTTTGTCAGCTTTGCTGGGGGGACAGGCCTGGTGTAGCCAGACTGACTTGCTTGCCTTGGTACTAATGTTGTCCTGGGCTGTAGAGAATGTTTGTTCAGGTTCTGTGGGTGGGTGGGGAACTTGGGAGTTCTGATTGTTCCTTATACCTTTTATCTTTGCTTAATTCCTTTACGTAGCTATTGTGTTAGCACTCCTCCTTTTAAAAATGCTTTGTGTGACTAATATTCATTGCTTTTGCTGTGTGACTCCTCTCTCTCATATATAGCTTTAACTTTGGAGGAAGGTTATGGGGAAATGTGTGGTAATGTTTAGATAGCATATCATCTAAACTTGCTCAAACAGCAGCTCATTCCCTCTTGACAAGGGACAAACACGCAGTGTCCATAGGCAAGAACTGAACTTTTTAAAAATTCATTTGTGTCCTGCATGTGTGGAGACTGCAACAACATCTAAAAAACAAAAGAGCCCCAACAATAAAACCCCTTTTTGTCTCTCTTGTGTTGCTGTTAATGCACATGGGCAACTACAGAGATTATCTAAGGATTGAGTAATCAAACAGTAGCCACCTTTTTCTGCAGTAATTTGTATACATTCCTAGTCTGGGTTCCCATCTCACTCTGGCTGTTATTTATGATATCAAAGTGTTGGCTTCAACCCTGCTGAAGAAATACTATTTGCTTCTTGTTCAGTGAGAACACTCAGGTCTGCCAGTGTGCTCTCATACTTGCATTCTGGGACTTGAACTAATGGCAGGGTATTTAGAGGAGCACCTTCAACTCTGGAATTTGTTCTCCAGTACTGTTGGCCTACTGGTTTCTGTGGAGCTTTGGTTAAAGTGCCTGTATTTCTTCAGGCTTTAGTCAGAAGCAGTTAGATTTTTGGGATTGCTGCTTGTTCATAGAGTTTTTATATCTGCAATCACTTTAGCAAACAGCAGAAATGGTGTACACTGTGTATTGATATAGTAACATTAATCTTAAGATATACTTTAAAATATATCATGTGGCAGTAAACGCTTGGCTTATTATTGGACAAACAGAGCAAAAGGGTATAACTTCATATTTTTTCACTTAAATTTTCTGCTATTAGTTTCTTCTCTGAATAAAACAGGCTTGAACAGTCTGTGATTCTTATTCTGAAGCTTGTATTACTATATTTTATATAGTAATACTTATAAATAGTATTACTTTATGTGATAGTAGTACTTTATGTGATGCTTGGTTTTGGTTTTCTTCTCTCGAGATGCATATGTGTAAAGAAAGTAGGATTTGTAAGTTTGCTGTGTGAAGTTTGCCTGTCAATTCTTGATGTACTTGTCATTAAAAGTCCATTCTTGTTCTGATTGAAATTCTGATTAATAAATCAGCTATCAGAGAAGTTGTATTCTAAGAGGTATTTTCATAAGCCCCTTGAAGAATTTGAATAAAAGGAAGCTTTCAGTAGAATCCATGTTTGAAAAATCTTGAAAGTACAACTCCTCTTAATTTTTTTTCGTTTCAATTTTTGACATGTGGTTTCTCTTTCTGAAGATTCCGTAAAATGAACAAGCGTCTCGTTCCCCGAAGACCCCTTAGTGCCTCCCTGGGCCAGCTGAATGAGGTGGGCCTGCCTTCAGGAGCTATCCTCTCAGAGGAAGGGGGAGTGGACTTGCCCAATAGGAAAACTTCTGCTCTGCCAAATGGAATTGTGTCAACAGGCAGCACAGTGACACAACTGATTTCTCGAGGGACTGACTCTGGTTATGAAAGTGCCCTGAAGCCGGGGAAGATGGACCATCTGAGCAGCAGTGCCCCTGGATCCCCTCCTGACTTGTACGGCTCTTCCTACCTGTTCTTCACATTGTTGTGGGTGTAAATGGGGAGTAGAGACAAAGGAAACCAGTTCTTTAAAAAAGAAACAGAACTGGGGTTGTGGTTGTTCTTGTGTTTGGTTGGGGGGTTTTTTAATGATTATATAGTAGAGTAGAAAGCTAAAGCTTAAACTCTAAACTGTGTTAATTCCCTGTTTGCTTATATTTTAATTAGAGAAGGTGATGGAAGCCTTCAGAAGGTGGAGTGTAGACAGATAACAGTGTGTTAAAGTACAGTGTGGAGTACTATACCAGGCCTTAATGAGCAGTGCCATCTTTCCACTTCCTTAGGCTGGAATCTGTCCCCAAGAGCTCTATTTCTGCCTTGCCAGTGAACCCTCATCCTGTGCCTGCTCGGGTGCCAGCAGATCTGCCCTCAGTGTCTGTCACCAAGCAGTTGCAGATGGTACCACGAGGGTCTCAGTTGTACAGTGCACAGCAAGCAGATATGTTTTATCAAGACCCCAGAGGGGCTGCCCCATCATTTGAGCCAGCACCCTACCAACAAGGTAAGATTGACACCAAGCTCTTTCATCCTTGTGCTGATTTTAGTCTTTCTTTCCACTCTGGTTTTTAAGCCCTTTAATTGAAGTTCTCTTACAAATGACGTGGATGAAAGACACTAATATGGTCATGTCATAATAAGATGGAAATTGGCAGGATTTTATGCCTTGACTGAAGTCTTCAGTGCAAGTGAAAACAAGACCTGTATCTGTTCAGGTGTTGCAAGTTCTTCTGTCTTCAGTTCTTCCTAACTGGGCTGGATGAGGGATCCAGTGTGGTAAACCTTAATTTAGTGTGACTCAGAGAAAATGGAAATAAAGTGCATATGATGACTGGAGATAAATGAAATTAGAGAAGAGTGTTCACAGAAAAAGAAAATGTCATAAAAAAGGAACTAAGAGGAAAAATTTAACTATGAAGAGAGCACGTGGAGAAAGATCATATTGAGGGGGATTAAAAAGAGAAGATATGGCTATCTGTATGAAAACAGAGGATGAGTCTTAGGCAATGTGAGGACACAGAGAGAAATGAGATAAAGTGAGGTTAATGTGAAAGAAAAATAAGTAATGACAGACCAAGGAAAGTTAAAAGCAGAAAAAGCTCTAGAAAGCAAAGGTGAAATGGGGGAAACCATTTCTGAGAAAGTTGCAGAGCATTTTGAATAAAAACAAACTACTTACATTTGTTCCAAAAGTCAACATCTGAGTTGTCCACAAAATTTGATGTCAAGCACATATTCATGCTTGTTTTAAAATTATCGAGAGATCCTGGATAGAATCTTCAGGAAACCAGGCATTGTGATATTGCAAGTCTTTCATGATTTACAGTTCTGAAATGTCTTTCTCCTGATCAAGACATAGAACAAATCTCTAAATGACTTTAAATCCTGATAATCCAAGTTCCTTTACCCACCCAGTGGCTCTGATTCACTTGAGTGTGTTCAGAGAAGAGCGACAAGGCTGGTGAGGGGCTGGGAACACAGACCCTGTGAGGAACCACTGAGGGAGCTGGGGCTGTTCAGCCTGGAGAAAAGGAGGCTCAGGGGTGACCTTATCACTCTCTGCAGCTCCCTGAAAGGTGCCTGCAGTCAGGTGGGGTTGGGCTCTCTCTCCAGGCAGCACTGACAGAACCACAGGACGCAGTCTCAAGCTGTGCCAAGGGAAATATAGGTTGGATATTAGGAAGAAATTTTTCACGGAAAGAGTGATAAAGTATTGGAATGGCCTGCCTGGGGAGGTGGTGGAGTCACCATCCCTGGATGTGTTCAAAAAAAGAGTGGATATGGCACTTGGTGCCATGGTTTACTTAAGGTGTTTAGGGCATGGGTTGGACTTGATGATCTTAGAGGTCTCTTCCAACCCAAGCATTCTGTGGTTCCATGAGATAAATTTAATTTAGTTGCATGGATGAAGATGTACAGACCAATCTTCAGTTTAATTTTTAGGTCTTTCCTAGCTGAAAGCATTTGTAGCAATCTGCAGAGACATTCTGGTGATGTATTTCTATTCACTGTGGTGGGCTCAGTCTCGCCAGCTCTTCATCAGCTACTGTAACATTGACACCATGCTGGTATCTTAGTTAATTACACAATGTCACTCGAGCCTTGGATCAACTTTTACTTCTTCAGGGTATTCTGCCGTCCATTTTTGTGAACAATTGTGCTAATCACTTTGTGTATCTTGTGTTTCCCCCCTTGCCTTGCCTCAGGAGTGTACTATCCCACTCAGTCCATGTCTCGCTTTGTGCGCCCCCCTCCGTCGGCGGCCGAGGCGGGCGCGCCGTACCTCGAGCACTACGGGCCGTACCTGCCGGAGCGCGTGGTGAGCCCGCAGTACCCGCAGCCGCAGGGCTACCCGCCGCTGGCGCAGCCCATGTACCCGCCGCACTACGACGGCCGCCGCGTCTACCCGCCCGTGCAGCCCTACCAGCGCGAGGACGTGGTGCGCGGCAGCCCCGTGCCCATCGACATCCCGCAGGCCGCCGTGCCCCTCTACGTGCCCGAGGCCAGGGACCGATACCAGCAAACGGAGCCTTACTGCCCCGTGCCTCCGCATCTCGGGCAGATCCGACCTTCCTGCCACAGGGTATGGGTTCTGCACTGTGCTTTTCTGCTTGTTTTGGGAGAGAAAGTGTAAACTGCTTGGGGAATTGAATGGTTTTCTACTAAGGCCTTTATGAAAGTCTGAACTTTAGGAAGCGGACCAAAAACTGGAAGGTAACTAAATTACCTTCAACTCTCAGTCAACTCTCCAGTTGAAATGATGTTAATATGTAAAAGTAGGCTGCTTTAGCACTCAAAGTAGAAAAGCATTGGAAATCTCATACGTTTCAAACTTGTCCAACAAAGATTAGGCTGGAGAGGGCAACTCCAGTGCAGAGTAAATACAGAGTGTGGAAATGGTCACACATGCATTCTTGTACTGCCCATCTGTGACTGACCAACTCTGTACCCTAATAATAAACATTAAACAAACCTGCCTTGACAAAAGAATTAAAAATTCTGCTCTTCTGAATTTTTCTAGTTAGATAGCTAACTGGAGGGTATTTCTGCTGTAAGTTTACAAATTGGTTTTGGTAACTCACCAGCTGGAATTGAGTTCTGTAGAATAGTTGGACTTAAGTCATTCAGATTAAAGGTTCTGAATCCTATTGCCAGGTATAGGAAGGTTTTTCACATAATTTACAGATTTATCAGTTTGAGTGTGCGGTGTTTGTGTTTAATTCTGTTGCAAAGTGAATAATAAATGTGACTAGTGACCTGTAGAATTCTATCAAGTTACCCTACATGACTGTAATGGAACTTGCCATGCTGAACATGTGCCAGTGGGAACTTTGTCAAGTTGCAACACTTGCCTGTTTGTGGGCTGTCCTGAACTAACACTGGCCAGTGTAGGAAAATGTATGTCATGTATGAAAGTTAACAGGTAGACTTAAACAAAGTGATCATCACTTGTTTTAATGATTCTATCTGTCCTCTGTATTTCCCTCTCCTTGCAGTACATAGCTGTGTTATCTTGTTCAGATAAACAACACATTTTGTACTTGAATGCTTCAGGAGCTCTGAAACATTTTCCTGTCTTCATTTCAGCCTCATCCCAGCCTGGATGAACTTCACAGACGAAGGAAAGAGATCATGGCCCAGCTGGAAGAGAGGAAGGTGATATCTCCACCTCCTTTTGCACCATCACCAACCTTGCCTCATCCTTTTCACTCAGAGGAGGTAAGCATATTTTGACAAAACATGAGATACTGGCATGTTTAGAAAATACTTGGGTCTTTACGTGCTGGTAGGTGTAGACAACAGGAAAATCAGAACAATACAGCACTGGCCAGTGTTGGGCAGAGTAAATTTCGTGCCTAGCTGGGAAACCCTTGTAGTACAGTCTCCAGTATTTCAGCTGGCTGTTGATCTACCACTGGTCCTGAGCTCTCTGCTTTTGGTGCAGCCAGGAAAATTAATTTAGAACCATTACTAATTGAAGTAATCGCTCTTCACAGTTACCAGACTTTACTCCTGACATATTTAGAATGGAGTAACAACTTGATAGAGATTTGTTTTTTTAACCAGTGTCAAAATATCACCTTCGAACTGGCCAAGTGAACAGTCAGCACTGGGAGCGTAGCCAGGGGCTCAGAATTTCACGCACTTCATGTGTTCTCTGGCCCAGTTCCAGAGGCTGATGTTTCTGATAAAAAATAATCCTGGTCATGTTTCTCAAGTTCACTACTGTTGAAGTGCACAGGGATGGCTGTGAAACTGCTTCTTCCCTTCGCTTACAGAACCAGATTTTTGTTTTTGTACAGTACTTGGATGAAGACCTGAAGGTAGCTGGGAAATACAAAGGAAATGACTACAGCCAGTACTCCCCGTGGTCCTGTGACACCATCGGCTCCTACATTGGAACCAAAGATGCAAAACCCAAAGATGTTGTGGCAGCAAGGAGTGTGGAGATGGCGGTATGCAGGGATAAGGGGAAAACAGAAGAGTGGATATTTCTGTGGGTTGGGAAGGACTTTCATTTGCTTTCCACAATGATGACAGTGCTTTATTTCAGCTCAGAAGTGCATTGCAGTCACAGAAAGCATTTGCTGGTGTGTGAAGCACTTCGTTTTCAAAGTTATGAGCAGTTCTACCCTTGTGTAGCTGGTACAAAATTCTGCATATAGTTGCAGGATAGCCTCTCTGCTGTGAAGCCATAGATAGCAAGGATTATTCTTTGCATTTACTTGAAATGCAAAAATTATTCTGTCCTGGCAGCTTCTTAATTAAGCATGTCCATCTGTTGCTGCCTGTACTTCTTTCTGTTAGAGAAAAATGCTGCAGCTTAACTTTAGGCAATTAATTCCCTTTAGGTGGCTGTTGTTGCTGTTAAGGGTGTTACTAGTTTTTACTTGAAGGACTGTGATTTTTGGCCAAAAGAGTACCCAAAACTTGCTTTTTGAGAAAAGCAGTCAAAACTTTCACTAGGCTGTTTCTTCTTGAGGGCAATTTCTACATCTCTGCTGCACTTATTCAGTCCTTCACTGAACTTTGGGAGGTGGGCTGTGATCTTACTTGGTGCTGCTCCATTTTTGCTAGGTCAGTGTTGCAAAATGAAGGGGCTGCTTGGGTGTTACTGTTGGGAGTAATGAATGGAGAAGAATATAGAGGAGTCCTACATAGCACCACTATTCAATTTCTTCCTAACGTTCACACAGCACTCAACATGAGGAGTAGGCTGGTAGCCCATGCACGTAGCAAGTCATTCAGGCTCTTGAAGAGAATAGACTGTTTAGCCTGAGAAACTGTTTTACAGAGATTCATCTATTCTTCTTCACCCCCCATCTGCAAAAGTGATCTGTTGATATATTTTTGTATTGTTGGAGTCACAGAAACCTTTCTTTGGCCAATAAGAGGTGGGGGGGAACATTTCTCATCAGAATTCATTCTTCTGTGGACAGATGCTCACCTGTTGCAACCACTTATTAAATCAGGATTTTTTTGGTTCAGCTTCTCCTCAGAAAGGCTCCCCTTTAGCCCTCTGCCCCATTGGAACTAAATTTGTCTTTTTTCTGTCTGCTGAATTGCTTTCCTCATAAAGTCTTGAAGCTGCTGTTGGAAATGGACCCAAAAAGGAGTCTTTCTTTCTACTGAAAAAAGCAGAGAAAAAAAATTGCATTTCATCTGCAACTTTGAGCTTTTCACCTGTCCTCTTGCTCTCAGTCCTACACAGTGTGGTTGCCTGGAGTTACCACACTGCCACGTTTGACCTGGGAAAGCACTGAGATTATTTGGAATCAGCTTATTGCTGTCTAAGTGGCAGCATCCAGGAGTGATAAACAGCTCTTGGCTTTCATCCCTGCTGCAAGAAAACTGTGTAAAAAACCTGCAACTCAGTTACAAAGAGTAATAAGGTTCTAGAGAAATAACCTCCTTTTTCAAGGCTAAACAAAGTATTCTTTGCCCTAAGAGCTAATTTTCACATAAGCAAAATGGGATCTCTGCTGCTTTTCAGGTTTTGCCTCCTCACAGGAAAAAATTATCAAGAGACCTTTACTGAATTAATTCTTCAGTGATTTTTTTTTTTAAATAATTCATAAGAGATTCTTTTTTTGAAGCACAGGAGTAGTATCACCTGAGTGCATAATGCTGAATATTCTGCAGATGACATGCAGCTTTACTGAGTAAATAGAAGGATATTAAAATTGGTACTAGCATCCTATGGCCTCAAGATTTAAATGTATTTTTTAATGTTTTTTTTTTTTCCAGAATTCCAAAGTAGATTTTCCCTAATGTTTCTGTTTCTAAGTATTACATTTCTTGAGTTTAGGTTCCAACTTAGTTGTTATTGCCATTTCCACCCCTTTATTCCTGCCTCAGATATGTTAACTGTTTTTTGCAATCCTTATCCCCACTGAAAGCTTGCCGAGTTTTATTTTGTTATAAAATAAAATTTTATTATTAATTTTTATATTATTTGGACTATACCAAAGGTTGTAGCCTTTAGACAATTTTCTTGGTGTAGTGGTCCCACTTACCTTGTTCTTTTTGTTCTACTGTGCAGTTTTACTTCTTTAGCAGTCTTAACTTGATTTTGGCAATTGTTACCATATTACATTTTGTGGTAGCCAACAGATAGCTTTCCTATTTAGCTGAGCTCTTCGAGGACAGTGTGAACACTTCTCTCCTCATATGCTGACCCATTAAGGTGTTTGAGTCTGAAATTCCGTTAGAAACCAGGATGTTGCAAACAGTAGTGCTGCTTTATGAAAGGTGCCTGAAAAGATATACCAGACATGTCCAAGTAAGTGTGGTACTGAAAAACTCCCATTCTGAGTCATTTGCAGGCTGTTAGGTTATACAATTCTTAGCACTGCGCTTCTGAGAAATTTCTTTTTGATTCTAGAAGGAATGTCTATTCCTCAGAGATGCCCACTGGTCTCTTCTTTGAGTTTATATGAGGGGGAGGTTTTCCCTCTCTTCTCTTCCCATTAGACTTTCTTTGTCTCAGTTTCCATTTGCTGCTGCTCTCTTCTTCTGGATTTGATCAGAATTTTTCAGCTTTTTCACTGTGGTGAAAAATCACTGGTGTTGTAATGATCATCTTAAGGTAGGCCATTAAGGAGATGTCCGTTCTGACTACAAAAACTAGTTGAAAAGTGAAGGGAATAGAGAATACAAGAGAAACTAACTGCACTTACCAAATTGTTGTGAGAGGAACGTGTGCTGTTGGTTTTGGGATGAGTTTTGGAGTGCCTTTTCCATGTGTTGTGCAGAATGTGGACAGCAAAGCCATGCGTGAGCAGCGGCTGGACATGCAGCGGCGCGCGGCCGAGGCGGGGGACGATGACCTCATTCCCTTTGGAGACCGCCCAACCGTGTCAAGATTTGGGGCCATCTCCCGTACTTCCAAAGCCATGTACCAGAACTCTGGGCCCATGCAGGCCATGGCAGTTCCGGGAGCTGCCACCAAATCCATCATTTCAGGTATGATCTGTGCTCTTGCATTTTGTTGGCTGTTGCTATTTTCTTTACTTGTCTTGAGGACAAGCCCTCTAAGCTTGTATCTTGTCTCAGAAGTACAGCTGTGATGTGTGTTAATGGCACTTAAAATAACTGCAGGTAGGGTTATACTGAGAGGACTGAATTCAGGACAAGGTTGCCACTGCTGAGATCACTTGGTCTGGACAAGAGGAGACCGAGGGCAGACCCCATAGCAGTCTACAGCTGCCTCCCAAGGGGTGCAGAAGGACAGGCCCTGATTTCTCTGTAGTGACCAGTGATAGGACTGGAGCTGTGTCAGGGCAGGGTATGGTTGGATATCAGGAAAAGATTCTTCCCTCAGAGGGTGGCACTGAACAGGGAATGGTCACAGCCCCAGGACTGCCAGAGCTCCAGAAGTGTATGGAGAGTACTCTCGGGTACAGGGTGGGATTGTTGGGGTGTTTGTGGAGGGCCAGGAGTTGGACTCTGTGGTCCTTATGGGTCCCTCCCAACTTGACATATTCAGTGATTCCATGGCATGTTAGAGCATACAAGTGTATTTGTTAGTGATATGTTGTTGCTGTTTGGAAGAAGTTACTTTGTTCTGCTAGTCCCTCTGATAGGAAGCTTATTTTAAATCTGTAGCAGCAGAATCCAGAAGCCTTGCACTTTCCCAAGTACACTATGCAAAACCATCTTGATGAACTATTGTACTGCTGCTCTCCTGCTTTATTGGTAGCTGCTCCTGCAAACTTAATGCAGCCATTGTCTCATGTACTGTTAGGCAAAGCAAAAAAGTAGAAGTAGTTCATTTCCAACACATCTATTTTCTAAGCACATGTATAATATGGCCTTCTGTCTTACTCCAAAAGATTGTCTCTTTCTTGAGGTGCACTGCATAACCTTAAGAAAATACTGAATTATTATATTCCCCCAAACTTGCTTCTAGCTCTTTCAGGCAGTAATTTTTTAGACTTTATTACAAGTGGAGCTCTGACTTCCCTGGAAAGTTACTATTTAAACGGTAGTTACTGAGATATGTCAGAATTATCAATGAACTCCTGAGTCTTTTAGGAACTTCAGTAGTAAAAATAACTGCAGTCATCATGTCTAAGTTTTGTTCTGTGTTTGCTCATCTGCCTGAGTATGTGAAGTCCTTCACAGTCTCAGACTCTGGAACGCTGTCACAGACTGTTAGTCATACAGGAAGAGTCGTGTATTAGGCATTTGAGAGTGGTCAAGGAGAGTATTTCTGTGTTCATTCAATCAAAAGAAATGTTCAACTTCTCATAATTGGAGGGCTGGCCGTTCTTCTTCTTCTCTGTCTAGTTCTGTGTTGGCTGAATGACTGAAAGGGTGATTTTGTAGTAATGCAATGTGGTTTTCTTCTGTTCCCTGGTAGACTACAGTCCTTATGAAACTCACGGTGGCTGGGGAGGCTCTCCATATTCTCCTCATCAAAATATACCTTCTCAGGGACGTTTCAATGACAGGTAGGACTGCTGTATTTTTTCTTTGCCTTTCTCTAAATTTTCTCTTCTCTATTTTTTTCTGTGCCAGTGGAGTAAAGATTTTTATTTTGAAATCTCCTTGTTTTCCAATCCCAAAGGGAGAGGCTGTCCATGTCAGATGTGGCTGCTCATGGGAAGCAGTTGCCCTCAGCTGAACGGGAGCAGCAGCTGCGCATGGAGCTGCAGCAAGTCGACCATCAGATCAGCCAGCAGACCCAAATGAGGGGGCTGGAGGTTGGTACCAGCGTTTGGAGCAGCACTGGGGGGTGGGATGGAGGGAGATGAGGCTGGTAAGCCTTTCAAGGGCTGACCTTTGTAGTGATACTCAGTAGCAATACTTAATCCTGTGATGCCAGGCATCAGGGCTGTGGTGCAAGTTCCGGGTTTTCTGCTCAGCAGCAGAAACTTCTCTGCACTCCACATGCACACCAACACTATATTTGAATCTGCAGTCTGTGCTTAGTCTTGTTTGCTATCACTCTTTTTCACTCCCCCTGTGTTCAACTCTACTCAGAGGCAAACTTGGGGCGTAGCAGCCTGTTCTTCTTGACTTTACTGCTGCTGGAAATGTCTAATTTTATGTACAGAAAGCCATGAGCTTCATCTGTTTCATGTTTGGCTTTGTGTTTGTACCTGTTTCTTCCTAAATAGCACAAGAGTCAAGAAAGTAAATATGTAATACATTTAGCTTGAAAAATTAAGGCCTAATATTTTATGGCTCTTTGCTTAGAAAAAATGTAGCATAAGGAAAGATGAGTATGGGTTTGTAAAAGAATTAATGAGCTGAAATATTTTGATTTTGTGAGACAGGAGTAATGTCAAGCTATAATGAATGGTGGTAGAAAGCCTTCGTTAATTTTTTCCTCTTAGTAAAAATCAGTAAATATTTACCAGAAAACTGTTCTAGGTACTTTAGCAACTATTTGTGTTAACATTTTCCCGGAAGAAAATGCTGTAAGTAGTGGAGAGCAGCTTCTGCTGAAGCTATGGTTAGTTAAGAACACGTGTTACAGAGGAGGGTTATTGCAGATTAGTTTAAGAGCTCACCATTAAGTCACAGCAGTAGTTGCAGTAATATGCATTTGTTAGTTACTTGAAACATAGCTTGTGTTCTTGTGCTCTTGTTTGGGAATGAGAGGAGAAAATGTTTTCAGTCTTGCATGTCTGCATTTGCCATAATACAAGAGTACTGGAAAGTTGCAAAACCTCTAAGTGGCCTTCTCCTGCTCATCATTGTTGTGATTATGTCAGTGTTAAATCCTACTCAGTTGAATGTTGAGTCTTGATTTTGGCATAATATGAATTTTGCAGAATTAGTTATTTTGATTAAGAACAGCTTTCAGTTTATCTCTTATGTTTGAAGCTGCATGTAGATGTTGGAAATCAAGGAGTCTTCACTGGTTTGCCTACTACAAATTGATTGCAGCAATCAATTCAGCCAAAGCATGAAGAGCTAGATCACTTTGCTTTTGCATTGTATGAGCATTTCTACTTAAAGACCAGCCAAATGCTGGACTGTGTGGAGTACAAGATGATGTGTTTAAATGCAGAGCCTACACTTGCAGAATTGATTCACATGTGTTAGCAGAGTTTTAGAATGGCTGACTTGGCTACTGCTTTTAGTAACTTGCAACTTGTGAATGACCATAGTCACTTGCCCCTCTCTGTTCCTCTGTTTCCTAATGTGGGTCAGTAGAGACCTACATATTGACAGCTACATCTCTCAAGATGATGTAATAATAATTCTGGCTCTGCTGTAGAATTAGATAAATTCTACTGCTGTAAATAAAGCAGCGGATTTGCTTATCTGCAGTTTTTTTTGTTGAACATAGTGCTCAGAAGAGAGTAATGTTTTTGTTCTTGGGCTTAGTCTTAGTTTTGAGAAGGGAGTGACACATGAAGACAACACATGCAAATTTATGACAGCAAGAGGAATTTAACCCTGCTTGTTTAAAAATTAAAATACTTGTCCATGTCTACAGAAACATGTTGAAACTTGCATTGGAAGTGATTTCAATTGGGACATTGTGAAGTGCGGCCTTGGTTTTGCAAACGAGCAATACTCTGGAATTATGGCCTTAGAGCTCTCTGTGCTTGGTGTGCTGTGTGCTCAGTTGTGTATGTGCTTGGCTTTATGCATTTAGGCTGTTAGTAACAGGCTGCTGTTGCAGAGAGAGGCGACTACCCTGGCAGGCCAGCCACAGCCCCCACCCCCACCTCCCAAGTGGCCTGGGATGATCTCAAGTGAGCAGCTGAGCTTGGAGCTACACCAGGTGGAAAGGGAAATTGGGAAGAGAACCCGTGAGCTGAGCATGGTGAGTGCTGGGGGGCTGGGAGGCAGAGATGCAGTGCAGAGCCATGAACTGGCTGCAGCCCCTTCACCCTGGCAGAAAGGCTCCCTGCTGGATGCTCACAGCTCGAGTCATCCATCTTCCTCTTCACCTCTATTCTTCAAAACCTCCTGAGGAGTTTCTGGAGTCTTCTTCATGAAGAAGTTTAATGTAGCCTCTTTAAATGTTAGTTTGTCACCATTTGAAATAAGTGTGGTGCTGACTTTGATGGAAACCAAACTGTCTCCAAGGTCCCTGTGCCATGAGCTCTATAAACTGCTTTAGCATAGGAGACATTGTCTGCAGCTACAGGCTAGTGTTCAGGAGTCTGTGTGCTGTTAGTCTGTGGCCTTTGCTTGTTGTTACAAGGATCATCCCTTCCTTTTGGGAAATACTGTGTCCTGAGAAGATGAGCATATCTAAAAGTCTTGGTTTTGTCTCATGGCTTTTGTGGGTTAAACTGTGACTGCAATTTACAGGCCTTCTTCATCGTCCCTAAGGAATGAAATCTCCAGTTCTTTCAACACACTCTTAAAGAATTTTTCATCTGTCCTTTCTTTAAAGGAGAGCCAATCTTCACTGGATATGAAAAACAAGCTGGGCACCACTAAACAGACAGAAAATGGACAATTAGAACCACAAAACAAGGTTCCAGCTGAGGACCTTACACTGACATTCAGGTAACATGGACCTTCAACCTCTCTGTGTAACAGGAGCCACTTCTTCAGGGCTACTCTCTTCTTGAATAAACACCTTTGCCTCACATCAGCTATGATGAGGAAGCATCTACTAGGCAAAGAGACTAAAAATCAAGTTTTTATAGTGCAGGTATGAATTAAGTACCTCTCTAGCTGTGGAGTAGGTGAGCGGAATAAGGCTGTATAAATTAATGGAATAGAAGACTTGCAGGGAAGAATCCATCTGGTCAGTATTGGGTGATTAGTAGGGAGAAGCAGGAGTTACACAGCCACCACAAAATACATCTTTATCTGCTGTTTTGGTTTCATATAAAAGAAATCTCCCAAATGTGAAAGGTATTCCATCCCTCTAATGTTCGTGATGCGGATGTTGTCTAGGAAGGTACAGACTTTGAAGCTACAATCACTTTCAGCTGTCAGTAGTGGACTTTTATCTGTGTAGATGCTGGGATTGATTTCAGTTTACATTTAATAGTTGGAATAAAATGGTTTTGGGAACGCTGGAAGTCTCTGCAGCAAGTATTTTCAAACAGCCACAAGCACCTGTGTGTGTTCAGGCCAGCACTGAAGAGAGAAGCTTGCATGCTTACCTAACTTCATGGGAGCAGTTTGGAATATTAATACTTATTCAGAATGAGCATTTTCTGAATAAATGCATTATTGCTGATGAAGTCTGTGCCTTCTTTTTATGACCAGTTCTTGAGTTTTGTGTTGCACCATCAGATTGACACCACCAGAGCAGGAACTAATTTTTCCATATGGTGCTGTGAAAGTAATGAGATCAAAATAACTGTTTATATTTTTAAAAACAGAGGGGGGAAATATAAATTATTATTGGGTAAGTTAAATATTCTGGAATATGTACACTGAAGTCCTCTTACTTAGAAATGAAGGAAACATCCCATTAATTGCCACTTTTCACCCACTTCTCCCTTCTCTTCAACTTCCCTTCAGCAGTGATGTTCCGAATGGATCAGCTTTGACCCAAGAGAACATTGGGCTCCTATCAAACAATATGGCATCTCTGAGCCTGGCAGAGGACCCCGAGGGAGGAGGAGAGGGCCATGACTCCCAGCGAGGGGGAGTGACACCCACATCTGCTCCATGAAGCGAGGCCAGCACACCCTGGAGCTCCTTCTGCTGAGGTGTCAGCAGCTTCCATCGGGTGTTTTCTTCCAGGGATGATTGGATAAACCCAGGAGCAGCAGTAGTAGCAGAGCAGCAGGTCCAGAGGCAATGTGCACAAACACAACTACTAGAAACAAATCCTGCACATAGTTCACATTAACGCATTTTTTAATTAAAAAAATGAAAATTAGCAGTATCTGCAAGCAATTCAAATTAAATTTGTTTTTGTTCTGTGAATGAACTTTATTTTAATAACTTTGGACGCCTTGAATCCCAGGGCTTAAAAAAAAAAAGATATTATATATATATACTCTGTTTGATTAATTGTATGATCTTAATGAAGTAGGTTTTCTTTTATTTTGGTATTATTACATACCCAGTGCATAATTCCTTATTTACCTTACTAGAACAATTTGGCCACTTCCTTGTATGATTTAAGGGTAAACAAGGAATGAAGGTTGGAGAGTAGCTGTGAATTGCAGCATCAAAAGATGTGCAGCAAACTTCATCTTAACACAATTCCTCCCATTGTGGCCCGGAACTTAACCTGAGCTTCTTGCTTAAATTGCTGAATTTAAACTACAAATGACAGTCTTTGCAAAGGTGTGGTCCTTTTCAAAGGCTGGCATTATTTAAGGTCTGTGTGAGTTAGAATCTGCCACCTGAGTATCAACCTGCAGTTTGTCAGGGCTGCAGTGAGTCCACCCTGGATTCCTGTTCCATGGGGGAAGAATTGCACTGAGGGTGCAGCACAGATCTTGCCAGAGTTATTGAGAAGCAAATTTTGCCTGATAGATTTAATACTTCTCCAAGTAGATGCTTTATGGGCATAAGCCAGAGAAGCAGTAAGTGTCTTTTGATATTTTTTTTTATAGATTAAAGATTTTGTTCTTGCTGCACATTTTTTACTTTTTTGGCATATGCTGAGGTAAGATCCTGGATATAAAGACCTCTTGAGAATGATTTTTCACGTGCTGCTCCCTCTCTACCTTCTTGGCCTGTCCTCATTATTTCTTTCTGGGTTAGACTACTAAGTGGGAAAGCACTGGTTATGTAATAAATTACTGCATTGCTTTGGTTGGGTAAAGCAAGAGTTAATAAATTTTCTTGGGTTTTAGTTTTCTTTCCTTAACCTTAACTCCTGCTGAGGTTCTAGCAACCTTGGGCTAAGCTTTGCATTCATCATACTGTTAAATAAAACAACAGGGGGGTGGGAGGGAATACAGTCTCACTATTGCCTACCAGTAGGAGAGTCCAAACAGAAGACTCTTTTGAGTAGCAATTATTTAATTTGCCCAGTCAAGGCACCGCGTTTATATACTATTTCACATTGAATTTGATTATGCCCTACAGACCTGGCTGGTCAAGGATTTGATACACATATTGGCTTGGGATTCGAGCTTTCTTTTTTATTTAAATAAAAATTTATATATAAATATATATATACATATATACATAGTTATATCTGTATATATATTGGGTATGTTTTAAGAATTTTTTCGCATGAGCGCAGCTGTTGTGATCAAATGTCTGGGAGGTAGAAGCACTGAATGAAAATAAAAGCATTTTTTAGCACACCCCCCACACTTTCCATGTGTCTTAACACTGGTTTATTTCACTTTTAGTTGAACTTTGGCCTCTTAATTGCCTGGAGTAGTTTGAAGCTTGCTTTTTTCTAATGCCTCTTTTAACTTTTGGCAAAGAATCAACTTTGCACTGAAACAGCTTCATCTCCCCTTGCCCCTATCCATCTGTATCTCCTACTTGAAGCCAAGCATTCCAGCCACTCTCCTTGGAGCTGAGCAGAACTGGGGTGATGCAGCTGGGAGCCTGTCAGGTCTGTTCCTCCCTTCTCAGCTCTGGGCATGAGGAGGATGAAGGTCTTTTCCTGGCTGCCTGCTTCCAAGTCACCTGACACAGGCCCTGGGCCCTCTCATCCTTCAGTACAGAGCACCACCCTCAGGTCAGCCTTCTCCTTAATTTTAATTAGTTTGCTCCTTCCTGCTGTGTCTTTATTAACACAGGGAGCTTATCTTAGTCAAGATAATTAGTGCAATATTCTAATCTAGGAGGACAAGCCCAGAATGTGCCTTTTTTTAACTGTAGTAATTGTGGGTGTAAAATTTAATTTTCAAAGATGGTTATGATAGGTTGGACACTACAGATTCATTTGTAATACTAGGAAGAAAATCTAGAGGGGCAAAAACCTCTTTACCTTTTATTTCCTGGTTCCCTCACCAAGTTAGGGATTATTCTTTTCTCCACATTTCTCCTGGAATTCTTCAGTAAGCACTATTTTAGATTGCTGGCCTACATATGATGAATGCTTCCAAAATCTCTGGATTAGAAGGGGGACCTTACTGGGTTTTTTTTCTCCTTCATCCAGCTCTCTGTGCTGTACTTTGTGCATAACGTCCTTGTTGTGATCAATGTGTCCAGGTGAATGCCCTGTTTGCCCAGAATTATAGTTTGGCTTGTTAAATAGTTTACTTAGTATCTACTAACAGTATTGATTTTCAACTTTGTTTCATCCCCTCTTCCTCTTACCTTTTTTCTGCTTTTTTTGCAGAAGTTTAGTTGATTAAACAAAACAGCAAAATGCAGTGCATGCTTTTAAGTTTTTTTCTGGAAATTGCACCTGAAATGTTCCAGTTTTGTGGAAAAACTGGGAGACCCTGTGGGACAGCTAGCTCTGTAAGTAGTGGCAGCATTGATGTTTACAAGCATGAAAATGTCTGGAGTGACTCTGTGTCTTCCTGCACTCACTCCTGTAGCCCATCATTGTCCCAGTTGTACAGGAATTCTGGCCACCTCAGTGAAATTGGTCTTGGCTGCCAAGTGCTTTAGTTCCTTCTGTTGGGCAAGCAGCAGCAGTATTACCATGGTGTCAGGGCACTGCTGCATCCTTTGGTAGGTAGGTTAAATTTTCTGCTGCACCAGACAAGTCTTGATATTTGGGTTTCAGCCAGATGGACAGCATGGACAAACCTTCAGAATAGGAAGCTTCAAGTGGTAGGTTAAGCTTCAGTGTGTCAGTGATTCAGTCAGTGTGTAGATGATGTCTGTTTATTCTGTGGTGTTATTTCCCTCCTTCTGTCAACATCTCATCTGTCTGTCCTGTGACCTAGTTCTTTTCTCTTAACAGGAGAAGTTTAAACTTTTTCTTCCACCCTTCTTGCATGCTGTCCTATTTCAGAGTAGGGTTTGTTTTCTGTAGATCAGAGCACCTTTCAAGCTAGCAGCACTTTTATCCCTGTTCTTCTCAAGTTCTTCTCTCTGTAGTCTTTTCTGAGCCGTCTCTCCCCTTTTTGTGTCTTTTTCTCCTGTGGCTTGCCCATCCACCCTCCCTGATTGTGTAACAGTGACAGCTTGCTGCCTCAAAACAGAGCATTCAAATGAATTCGCTTAGCCAATAACTTCTGTGAAGTTGCCTTTTCTAATGGTGTTATTACTCAGTGATGCACAAATGTGATATTGCCCCTACTGGTAGGCAAACAGGGGATCTGTATAAACATGGTAAACTGCTGTTTTTCTTTAAAGGAGAGCCAAAGACTTGTGCTTTACACTTTTTTTTTCCCTGGTGTAGCCATTTTGATTGTCAGACATTTGTGTAGGGTATTGTGAGTTGACTGTATTATCCTAATAACAGTTTCCAAAAGTTAATGATTGTCAAGCCTTGCCCATGCATTGAATTGTGGAAGATCATTCCATTTAGTCAAACAATTTGCAATGTACTGAGATGTATCTGAGGTGTTGTGATGTGTTTTCAGTCTCTCATGCACTCTCTCAGCTGACTGAATGGCTCTTTTAGAGAGGGAGAAGGAACATAGAAATGTTATAATCCAAGAAGCCTTGTTTTTAAGTGTTTCTAAATTGAATACTGATTGAAAATTTCTTCAGTTACAGTAAAAGATAAATCTGTGTTACAAATGTGACTGACTTTTAAGTCCACTGGGACCGAAAAGATTTGTGAAACACTAGCATTGCATTAAATTAGATGTGGAAGAACCAAACTTGTGATGATATTGTCTCTTGACAGCATGGACTGAGTAAGGTGGGGCAAATTTTGTGCTAGAAAGGGCCAGGAGTGAGGCTTTTATTGATAATACAAGAGAGCTGCTGGCATTTCCCTTCCTTGAGCTACTCACTCTCACAGACTTCTTACTAAAGTTTTTAGGTTCAAAGAGAAATCTTTTAAAGTCTGAGTAGCATAAACCCTCATTTCCACTGCCATTTATAATTTTGAACTATAACAAAGCAGACTTACGGGATAGTTATCTGGAAGACCCCCAGTATAAAGTTTTTTTCCTGGACTGGCTCTTTCAGACCTGCTTTTATGAGAAAGAAGAAATGCCATGCCAGTGTTCAGGAGGCTCAACAGTGGGAGTGCCAGCCAGCTTCTCTGCTCAAAAATGGGAGAAAAGACCCAAACATACGCAGTGTGCAAGTTTTTGTGCTTGTCTGTGTGTGTATGGAGAAGTGATTTTGGTCCTAGGATAGATAGAAGGAACAAGAGCAGTGCTGCTGGGGCATGGTGTTACCTTCATATTCAAATTTTGTCATCATTCACTTTCCAAAACACAGCCTTCCATTCCTGCCTCCTGATGTTGCTGATTTGAAAACAACCAAAAAAAAGTTAGTGTGTCAGCAACTTAATTTCTTGTATCACAATAAATCAATTTTCCTGGGAGGAAAAAGAGAGCAAGAGTTTTTGAGTTGCCTGCATGGTAATGGAGTTATGAACTGGAAAAACATCCGCCTTGCTTGAGTAAGTGTAAACTGAATTTCTGAGTAAAAATGAAGAAGCTCTTCTGAGCCACCTTTTGCGTACAGCTATGGTGCCAAGAGATGGGTGGTTGTACAGATTATTATGTGGGAGAAATTGATTTGCTCTCAATTCAAATGGACTCTAAAATGTCAAAAACTTCATTGGGAATTTTCATTTTCATAGTGAACTGTTACCAACTGCATTATTTTATCTTGGAATGTCAGGGGATGACAGAGGCTAAAGTTAATCCTAGTTATACAACATAAGAAAGGGATCTGGGGAAATGTTGTCCCAGCAGTGTCCTTCTACAGTTAACATGTGGCCTTTATTCTTCTGTAGGAAGAAGAATGTAACTGCTTAGTGTTGTCACAGACTTCAGAGCACTTCTTGTGATGCAGGTAGAGCCTTGGTTAGCAGAGAAAGGAGAACAAATTTAACATTTCTTTTCTTTATAATTTTATTTCCTATTGGCAAGTGTGATATTGTGCCATGGGAATTGTGGCAAGCCAAGAGGCTGCAGCTTTTTTTGAAATTTCCCAGTATAAAGAGCACATGGCAATGTGGATTTGTCTGCATCAGGAACATCACAGTAATTTGATGCTTAAAATATGTGGCCATAACAATCAAAATTGGTTTCCTGTAGCTTAGTAATGTGAGTAATTATCTGATCTTTCCCAGGCAATCTTTGCAATCCCAGGGAGCTTGTGTATGATTTTTAATGCTAATTGCAAAGTATTCAGCAGTTGGAAGGGTTTAGGTGCCTAACTTCATCCAGCAAGGCAGCTTTCCTTGGATATACTGGTTGGATGTTTTCATATGCCAGGAAAGTACTGTTTTGAAGATCTGCATGTTTTAGGAAAACACAATTGTCCAATTTGAAAAATACAGTATTGGGAGAGACAGAAGCAACAGGTAGTGCAGTCTCTGGCAATAAAAAACATTAGACATGATGGAATTACATGTAAAATGCATATGGGGTAAATGTATCTGTAAGAGGAAAAAAAAATATTGTGGAGTATTTGATGCTCAAGAAATTATTTGCTTCTTCATAATGTTAAAAAGATTTCGTTAATAGTTCTGTGGCAGACAGTACTCACAAGTCTTTGGCATCCAAACCAGATTGTATATCAGATGGATCCCACAACTGGATGTGTGCACTGACCTCTTTATTTGTAGCTTTTTAAAAAGAAATTTGGCAGCAGCCTTTAATAAATGCATGAAGCAGCCTGAGAGGAAGAAGCAATCCCGTTCATATCACAGCTGCTGCACAGCTCACAATTGGTTCATCTGCAGCCTCTCCCAAGTGAAGCTGATCAACATGGGCAAAACAAATCACTTTGAGAGTTTCCCCTAATTTTAAGGAGTTCCCATTCCCCCTTCAGCCTGTGCTTGCTGTGTAAGCAGCTTCCATGCTCAAAGGGTCTTTCCTTCAAGTCAGCTTAGCAGCTGTTCTGTAGCTTGGCTATTTTTCCATATTTTCTCTAACTGGTAGCGTCGTGTTAAGCTCTTCCCCTCATTGTATTTGTTGCTATGGGGAGGAAGAGGTGAAGCAAGATGTGTGAGAGGAGGGAGGAAGAATTGTGGGATCTGTATGACAGCTCCCACTTCTTTGAAATCATCTACTTCCAGTTGTGGGATTTCTCGATATATGATTTTTTTTGTGGTTTCTGTAAGTCTCATTTTCTTTGATCTTGTTAGTTCCTTACAAGTCTCCCCGAGACATTCTGCAGTCATTATCACCTTTTTGGGTGGAGTTTATTTTATTTTTTTGGGTTGTTTGTTTTGTTTGGTTTTTTAAATAACTTTTTAACATTGGTGCATATATGCTTGGGATAGAGCTCATGTAATTATCCAATCGTATTGATTGTATGTGATTGTGCCCTGCAGAGGTATATTTAACAAAAAATAAAATAAAGGATAGCCTAGGTAATAAAGGAGACCATGAAATTTGTTGAGTCAGGTTATGAACTATTTCTTAAATTTATATAGGATCCCAGACAAGTGAAATTCCATCTGCTGTGTTCATGAATCAATGCTAAACAAAATATCATTCATTCTCTCCTTGTGTTTTTCCTTGCTTTTCTTCTGCTGTTTTCTTCCTTTCCTGTTTCTCTTTGCCATAAACAAAAATTCTCAATCTTTCATGGGAATGGCTGGTTCTGGGTTGATAATGTAGATAATTATTGTTTGTGGCTATCAAAACATTCACAATAGGAGTGGAGATGAAGTAGAATGTACAAGAAGAATTCCATAAGTTGAATTCTTTGCAAGTTCAGAGAAATTACGAAGTTTTGTACATACAGGCCTGGTTGTTGGGGGAGGTGTTCAGAGGTCCATGGGGAATTGCTGTGTCTTCTCCAGGAAAGGTTAGGTGCTTTACTTCTTCTTGGGGAAACTGAGATAACAAAAGGAGTAGAAGAAAGTTCTCTATATCCAACTCTCTGGGCCTGTACTCCTGCAATATACTTTTTAGACTTGACAGAAAAACCTTCTAGGTACTCTATTGAAGTAGGACAGAATGCATTGAAGGAGGCAAAAGGCAAGAGGATCCAGAGATTTGAAAGTCAGTATTGGTCTTCTTTATTTAATTCTCAGACCTTTAGAGCCGACAGTGTCGCTTTTATGTGAAAGAACAAGGGAGTGGAGACCTACTGTACATGAATGGCAGTTACATAGGGAAAAAAAAGTTTAAATGCTATTTCTTCTTCCCTCTTCTCCTTGCTTTTCTGCCTCTTTCTCCATGACTTCACCTTGCTCTCACAGAATATCTGAGGGTCCTTTGAGCTGCAGATTGAACAAAAAAAAAGTGGAAATGTGATTCATTATGTGGTTTGTAAATAGATGAAAATGTCTACAAGGTCTTACCTGCTTTTCTGTCAGCATTTATGTTAAGTGATAAATTAATGAAGAACACTTTGAAGTATCTCTTGTTTTCTGTCTGGGATGAATGTACATTCTTCTAAATTTTGTGTGAGGGCTAAGACTGTTGGACCATCTGAGTAAGCTTTTAATCATCTCAAGGTGTGTGTTCTCTGCCAGGCTGGAGCATAGGAGACACCAAATAGCAGAGAAGCCACATATCTCCTGGGTTTGGTCTGCTCTCTTCTGACTTCACCTGTAAACAAAGTGGCTCCTTCACCTGGTCACCAGAAGTGAACAAGAAAAGATACTCAAAATAATCAGGTTTCTTTAATTGTTCAGAGCGTACATATTTTAAAATCAAACCAGACCCTTCAGAGCAAGGAGTGAGCAGGATTTGTCTAATGTTGAGCCTGGTTTGGAACTTGCCTTAAAGTGCAAGTAAGTTTTGCTCCACAGTCTGCTTTGTGGGTTCTAGTCTTCTCCTTTCACACCTTTTTGTGGTCTTTAATAAGTCATTGTCTCTAAATCTGTAACTGGATGAAGGTGCTGCTTCACTGAAAAACTGATCCTTCTACTCCAGGGCAAGCAGGGCCTTCTGCCCCTTGAGTTTGTGCATAATGCTCATTACCTGGGCACCATGGAGCAAGGTAAGGTGTGTTTTGCTGGGCTGAAGACCATCACTGCTCATTTTTAGGCCCCCTCATACTTCCACACTTAATTGCTGAAAGAGTCAAAGCATTCAGTTCCTATCAAGGAATTGTATTTAGTGGGAAATCCAGCAGAAAACTAAGTTTCAGTTGGTGATGGTTTCCTCACCCTTTCTCCCACTAGTCTGAGGATTCAGGGTCCTCAGGTAGTGACTCACTTCAAAAGGAAAAAAAAGAGCTGAATTTCAACAGTTGCTGCTTTTAAAAAGATCTGAAGCACTGGAGAGTCAGATCCCTCTGGAAGGAGATGGTGGGTGCTCTGCATCAAGAGAGATTGGGAGAAACTTGCTGAGTTTCTTAATGTGGAAAAGAGGAGAGACCAGGCTCAAGTGGATGGTGGAATTTTTGTCCCCTTTGGATATGAATAGCAGGACAGAAAGTATCTTGGAAAGATGAGCTCATGAGATTCCTTGATCCCATCTTGCTCTGTGAGTGCAAGAGTCATTTTCCCTGTGCATATCCATGAAACTCAGCAGTGAACACCCAAAGCACAAAACAAAATGAAGGCAATTTGTTCCTCCTCACCAATCAGGTATGTTTAAGAACTGTTTCTTTCCAGCTGGGATGTGTTCAGTTGTTTCTGTAACCATCTTCCTCCTAACTGTGAACTCCAACTCCCTGAAGACTAAAAATGTGGGAGAGACTAAAACAAAAGTGTGATGCTTCATCTGTCCTGTCACAGGCTGCCAGGCTTTGGTGCTTGCTTTAGAGCCTCTGATCTTTTCTTTGGGTCTGGGAGCAGCAGCTTTGGGAGAAAAACAGCCCCTGTATTAGAGCAAACAAGGCATCCAACAGTTTGGATTAACACTGGCCATCCTGGGGGCTTCCTGGGTAGCTCTGCTCAGATGCAAGTGCTGGGTTGTTGCTTGGAGCTAAACCAGCCATGAATGACCACTTACATGCAGCATTCAAAAGATTATTTACTCAGCTACCCTGGAATAAATGCCCTGGGAGCTCTGTGGGATGTGCCTGGTTGTTTGCTTTGGGTTTTACTGCTTTGAGCTCCCTCTGAGCATTGGGTAAATGGAAACCTGTGCTTGGGTGTCTGCCTGGGTCTGGAGCATCCCTAATCATCTGAAAACCCTGGGATCTGTGAGCATGTCAGTTACCTTAAAAAATTAACCCAGCAGCCACCTGAAGTAACAAGGTGCAGTATGTGAGTCCTTCCTTTCTCATGGAGGACTTTTTTACATGACCCTTCACTTCATCTCCACAATCTCTGTCCCATTTAACGATGTCCCACACTGATACAGTTAAGTCTTTTACTTAACCCAAACCAATTTGCAATTGCATTTTCTATTAAGGGAAAATGTTCCTCTCACTGGAGGCTCAGCACCTGCTGAGCCAGCCTGCTCCTGGGATTTGAAATTCAGGGAGCAATGCTGCAGGGTTTGTGGAGCAGCTGCATCCTGGATCAGAAATGGTGTTTGGTCCTGCTCACTACTCTGCCCTGGGAATCTGGACAGGAGCTGGGGAGCTGGTGTTAATCCTCAGCTTTCCAGCTGTGTAAGTGAAAGGTCACAGAATATCCTGGACTGGAAGGGACCCACTGGGATCACAGAGTCCAACTCCTGGCCCTGCACAGACACTCCAGCAATCCCACCCTGGGCCTGAAAGTGTCCCAGTGCTCCTGGAGCTCTGGCAGCCTTGGGGCCATGCCCATTCCCTGGGGAGCCTGTTCCAAGGTGAGTGTGTTTAAGATGGGATGTGTTTGAAACTGCAGAATGTGAAGTGGGGCAATTTCTCCCAACTTGTGTCTGTTCAGGAAATGGGATACAGGTGACAGGGCTTGGGACAGATGGAGGAAACATTTTGCTTAGCTACAGATCCCAAAATTAGATCTACAAACAGCTTTATATAATTTTTATTCAAACTCTTAAGGGTTTGAGGTTTTTCTCATGGGATAAGCAGTTCCTTTTCTGTTGGCAAAAACTGAGGGCATGTGGCACTCATGTGGGGTAGGCTCCCTTGTCAGATTGAACTTTAAAACCTCTTTCAAACTAAACATTGCCTCTTTTTTCCTACTCTTTGCTTAACCTTCGGTAGCTGGTCATCAGCCTTTGGCCTTAGCATCCTACTCCCCTCCCACCATCCCCTGCTGCTGTCTCAGCTCTGTTTGAGCACAGAAATCCAGTGAGGAAACTGCTTTGGGCTCAAGCAAGGCTGTTCTCTCAAAAATTTGCATTTACCTCCTAAAAGCAGAAGGCTTGGAGGTACAAGAGGCAGGTAAGGAAAACAGATTGCACACATCTTTCATTGTTAATTAATTCCTTGAAACAGCTTCTTTTCCCTTAGTAGGAGCCATTGAATTTTAGCTGCTGCCAGAGTGGCTTTTTGCTCTATTAGAGAGAGTTCTCCCACCCTAGGTGTCATGAAGGCTGGCATTCTAAATTGTCAGGCTTGGCTTATCCCCAGCCTGCAGCAGGTGTGGTGTGGAGAGCAGTTAATGAAGTCAGGAAGCCCTGAGTAATTGCTGGCTGCAAAAGAGCACTGCTGGTTTGCTTTGGAGTCAGGTGTTGGGGTGTGAGGCAGTGGGGAAGGTTTCTCAAGAGCCTAAATGAATCTCAAAATGGTTTGAGCTATTGTACATTAGCTGGACTGTGTAGCACAGTGCTTGGCTGCTGTGGGACATTCCCACCACTACCAGTAGCCCCAGCAGGTTCAGTAGGGTGGGTGCTGGGGGTCTGTAAGGCCAGTTATTCATCCTGTCCTGCAGCCATGGAAGAGTGGGATGGAAATGGTGTGTGCTGGTGAGAGCCCAGCCATGTTGCACAGCAGCCAAGAGATCAGGGAGTTTCTCCATGCTTTCCCAGAGCCTTCTGATTTGAGCTGAATCAGCAACTTGTTTCTTGGCTTTCTGCACTTTTTGTTGCTTCACCCTTGTAAGAACCTTTTCTAATTTCTGCATTCCCCCTGCCAGTAATCCTTTTCAGGCAGTGCTGTTGTGGGACTACTTTTGGCATCCTTCCAGATTGACACATGGAGTACATGTCAGTGCTGCAGAGGAAAAGGGAACATTGAAGAGCTGTGGGGGGAGGACGAGTGGGTTTTGGCCAAATTTTATGACAAAGAACTGGTCAAAGAAACAGCAGGGGCTCTTGCCTGTAAGAGACAAGATTGGATGTGTCAGAGGCTGGGTCAACCTTAATGGATGGTAAAGTAGATTGAAGGTGTTAGCATGAAGTCCTGTATCTTCCCTGAACTGATGGAGTCAGGGCTTCACTGCAGAGTAAAAACAGGGAGTCTTTCTCATTTAATGAGGACAGGGTGAGGATGGAGGTGCCCTCCCCACTTATGTGCTTTGGCCTTTAAGTATGAAATTAGATGAGCAGCACTTGGTGTGATGGCAAACCCCATGAGCTGCTTCTGGCTTGGCTGAGGCAGGTGTTTGTCCTGTACAGACAGGGTCAGGACATGGCTTTCCCTGGAGGGTGAGTGGAGTGACAGGCCAGGGACCATGGTGAGGTTGTCCTTTCCATGGTGGGACTGCCACAAGTGTGTCAGTGCTGCTGGAGCTGCAGGACCAAGTGTGGGTGAGGGAGGGCTGCTGCAGGCAGTGGAGGGCTCTGCTCCTGGCCCCAGGATTGCACGCTCTGGAGCGTGTCTGGCTTTTGCCGGCTGACTTTTCCTGTGGGATTGAAAGGTTCGGAAGCACAGCACTTCCTGGAGTATTTTCAATTGTCTTAATATTTTTCTTTCTCTTGGCCTGGGTGGTGTTTTTTGTTTTTAATTGGTTAACTTCCCTCCCTTTTTAGGTTTTTTTTTCCCCTTTGTGGTGTTGCATCTGTCCTAAACCTTTCGCAAGATGATCTCTGTGTCATTACCAGCGAGAGCTGTGGCCATGACACAGATGTAGGAGATCTCTGGGGCCTGAGATCTCCCCTTGTTTTGCTGTGCTATCAGCCTTGGGCTCCAGACAGTCTTGATGCCAGATGAGGTAGTTTCTGCTTTTGCAGAGGAACAGATGAAGTCATTGGCCTAGAGCCCAGGGAGGGTGTTGTGGAAGAACCCAGAGGTCTCCTTCATCCCAGATCAGCCTTTGAGCCTGCTCCCATTTTCCTCCAGCAGGTGCTGGCCCACCAGCAGTGGAAGATCACAGACATGGAGGTCACCAGTGCTAAATGCAGGTGACTTCTAATTTAGTTTCTCAGAAGGCAATGCTTGGTAGCCATGGCAGTGAGTATGTGGAGGCAGGCAGAGACTTACCTAACTTAGACACACGTTTGGAAAAGTGCCCTGTAGCAGGCAAGACCTGGGCAGGCTGCCAGCCCCTCCCAGTAGTTGTTTCCCAAACTGTGGCTGTGGTGCTTGAGCTTCCTCCCATGGGGTACATACACAAAGCAGTCATGCAAAGGGCAACTTAGAACCACAGCATGCAGGCCCTGGGATGCCTCATGAGGCCTTGCTGCCAGAGCTGGTGGGAGATGGGATTTAGGAGGAAGTTGTTCCCTGTGAGGGTGTGAGGCCCTGGCACAGGGTGCCCAGAGAAGCTGTGGCTGCCCCATCCCTGGATGTGTCTGAGGTCGGGCAGGGCTTGGAACAACCTGGTCTAGCAAAGGTGTCCTTTCCTATGGCAGGGGTGCAACCAGATGATATTTAAGGTTCCTTTTAACTGAAACCATTCTGAAGTTCAGTGTTCTTTAGCAAAGGGGAAAATATAAATTATCTCTCTCTGGCTGGAAGATTTTCTGAGAACTGCTTTTGCTGGAACACAGTAATTCCCGTTAGCCTGCACTCTTTAGGTACCAAGTACAACCAGTTTGCATTGAGGTGCTATGAACTTTGGACAGGAGTTGGTATGATGTACCAGCTGCACCATACATGCTTATAAAGTACATTTTTTGGGAATTAGAGATGCTCAGTCCACGGAGGGACCAAGTTCCTTGGAGGCCTTTTCCTTATCACCTTTTTTCTCTGCCATATTATCTCCTACATCAATAACTGTTAAGTTCTGTAGAGCTGAGGTGAGCCTGGCAGGGTCCTTACACTGTAGTCACCTCACTGGCCAATGGGGAGGACTCACAAGTTCAAATGATCCATTTTGGTACAAACTTGTCAGGGCTGAGCCTGCTGCTTAAAAAAGAGGGGCCCCAGGTCACTAGAAAAACACTGATTTCAGTATATTGCTTCTAAAAGCATTGTGTGCTCACAGGCAAGCCTGTCCTCCTGCTGTCTGTCTGTCCTTGCTTGTCCTGCAGGTGCAAGGCAAAAGGATGACTGAGGGGGCTGTGGGGCTGCTGTCACTGTGGTGCTGGCTGCAAGGGGCCCAGGGCCGTGGAACAGCACAGGTTTCACAGACAGGCCGTGTGTCTGAGCCCTCTCTCTGGTTCCAGGACAATGCATCTCCTCGTGCTGTGCCTGCTCAGTGTCTGGGGGCTGGCTGCCCCTGAGCACTACGCTGTGGAGGACATCTGCACCGCCAAACCCCGTGACATCCCCGTCAACCCCATCTGCATCTACCGCAACCCCGACAAGAAACCCCAGGAGGGAGAGGGGCAGGAACCAGCCAAGGACAAGCTCCCAGAGTCCACCAACCCCCGGGTGTGGGAGCTGTCCAAGGCCAACTCTCGGTTTGCTGTCGTCTTCTACAAGTACCTGGCTGACTCCAAGGACAGTGGGGAAAATATCTTCATGTCTCCCCTCAGCATTTCCACGGCCTTTGCCATGACCAAGCTCGGAGCCTGTGGCAGCACCCTCCAGCAGCTCATGGAGGTTGGTGGAGATTCCTCAGCCTTTTCTGTAGCAGGTCTGAAAGACAGGAAAGGTGATCATGGCTAATGGCTGCTCACAGGGTCTCAGCATTTGCCTTGGGGAGGAAATCCCAAGTTGGAAGGACTTTAAAATTCATCTCATTTTACCCTCTGCTATGGGCAGGGACACCTTCCGCTAGACTGGGTTGCTCCAAGCCCTGTTTCTGGATTTGTTTAGATCCCAGCTCTTTCCCCTTACTCCCTGTTGGGATCCAGCATTTCTGGCTTTGATAGGTTAGTTTTTATCTGGAGGAAAAGAAGCCCATTTGGAAGGTGAGAGAAGGGAATGGCAACAGTTTGCCTCTTGCAGATTGAGCTAAGCTTTTCCTTAGGTAAAAAGCAGGAAAAGCCATGATATCAAGTCATGCTGCAGATTAACTTTTTCACATTCCTTCTCTCTTCCTTGGGACAAAAATGAGACACGTGGGAGACCCTGATGTCCACCTGACTTTCAGGGCAGGGGAGCCTGTACACGGGGAGTCTCTTCCTCTATCTGGTGGCCCTATACTCAGGGGATAGTTCTCATCCCAGACTAAGAGGTAATTCTGAGTTCTGGCTCTTCTATGCAGCTAACTTAAGTCCCTGCCTGTCCTAGCACCCTTCTCAATGCCAGACCCACTCACTTGCTATGTGGGGTTTCATGTTGCCCATACCTTTTTCTCCAATGGGAGACCTCAGCCCAGAGGAGCCTTTCTCCCTGCAATGAGGAGGTGTGAATCAACCCCCCCATTGCTGTCCTTACAAATCCTGCCTCTGGAACAAATAATGTTGGTGGTCTCCTGTCATTATCCACACAGCCTGAGTGAAGCAGCTATACCCACATCTCCAAAATCTTCCCCTCTGGGCAGCCCTTCCCACTGGAAGGGGAACCTTCTCCACTGAGCCACCCACACCAGCAGTCCTAACCCCACTTTTCCCTATGAAATGGCTGGGAACACCAGGAATGCCTTACAGGAAACAGTGCCAAAAGAGGTTCATAAAGAGCAATAGGCTGTGGGATTTTCTGTGCCTTAAAGCCCTGAGGTTGGATAGCAGTAGAAAAATCATAATTGTCCTTCCAGCTGGCAGCTGGGAACAGATAAATTCCTTGTGCTGCAAAAATCTACCCTCAGAATGATTGCTACATATTCCCATTCCCTGTAAAAATAGATAAGATGTACCAGAAGTACTCAACAGGCCATGAGAATTCCTCCTGGGAAAGTGCAGCCTTTAGCATTTTCACAGGAGGGTTTAGTACATGTGAGTCCTCCCATGACCTGATAAGACCCAAGAGTTGCAATGCTCATCTCTGGGCTGTGGTAAGGGGTTATGAACACTGTGTTAATTTTACCAGCACTCAAAGGTCTTGGGCTGGTGATGTGTTGATTTTCCAAAGATTTGGGGTCCTACACACGGAGGGTGAAGCTCTGAGGGCCTGCAGATCTGTTGCTGTTGAGGCAAAGGCTGCACCACCATTTCCTCTGGGGCCCAGAGCACAAGAGCCTCCTAATGGATTCCTTGTTGCTGTTTGGCTTGTCCAGGTCTTTCGATTTGACACCATCTCAGAGAAGACATCAGATCAGATCCATTTCTTCTTTGCCAAGCTGAACTGCCGCCTGTACAAGAAAGCAAACAAATCCTCAGAGCTGGTGTCAGCCAACCGTCTCTTTGGGGAGAAATCTTTGGTCTTTAATGAGACTTACCAGAACATCAGTGAAATTGTTTATGGAGCAAAACTCTGGCCCTTGAACTTCAAAGTGAGTTTGAACTACTCCGGATTTTGCTTTTTTTTTGTTTGGTTCCACCCCCACCCCCAGTCCATCCCTGTCTTTTCCCGGAAGTGCTCTGCTTTGGGTGTGCGGGACACCCAGTGAAAGCAACAGGCAATCTGGGATGCAGCTCCTCTCACTTCAGCTCGCCCTAACCACAGCCATGTCCCACTCATCACACCTAAGCTTATGGTCCTCCCCCAGCACATACCCTTGTGAGCCTGTCTCCTGCAGAAGGGGTACAAAGAGGGGTTTAAAACCCTTGGCTTAACCTTTTTTTGGATCTCTTCCCTTAGGAGAAGCCAGAACTTTCCAGGCAGATCATAAATGAGTGGGTGGCTAACAAGACAGAGAAGCGCATTACAGAAGTGATCCCGGAAAGTGGTATTGATGATCTCACTGTCTTGGTCCTGGTCAACACCATTTATTTTAAGGTAAGAAAAGCTAACAGAACTGGGGAGCAGCACACTTGCTTGGAGGAGACATGCTGCTCATGTTTGTTTTCCCCCTCTCCTTTTTAGGGGCACTGGAAATCACAGTTCCCACCTCCAAACACAAAACTGGATGTATTTCATAAAGCCAATGGTGAGACCTGCCAAGTCCCAACTATGTACCAGGAGTCCAAATTCCACTATGCATTCATTGACCAGGACAAGGTCCAGGTGCTGGAGCTGCCTTACAAAGGGGATGACATCACGATGCTGCTAGTCCTGCCCAGTGCTGGGACGCCACTGGAGGAGGTGGAGCGAAAGCTGACCTCAGAGAGGCTGCAGGGCTGGATTGATTCCATGAAGGAGATGTCTCTCTTTGTCTACCTGCCTCGCTTCCGCATCGAGGACAGCTTCAGCCTCAAGGAGAAGCTGAGGAAAATGGGACTGGAAGATCTCTTCAGTCCAGAAAATGCCAGACTCCCAGGTGAGATGTGGAGACAGGGCAGGGCAGGGTAGAGGTGAGGACAGCTTCAGCCTCAAGGAGAAGCTGAGGAAAATGGGACTGGAAGATCTCTTCAGTCCAGAAAATGCCAGACTCCCAGGTGAGATGTGGAGACAGGGCAGGGCAGGGCAGTAGGTGCAGCAGCACACGAGGAACGAGCACATGAAAGCATTTCTGTGTTGCTGCGGTGATGGACTCTCTGGTCAAGTCCCACTATGGACACTCAGCCCTGCTCTGCAGTGAAGACATGGCAGCTTAGCAGTCAGTTGCACGTGGAGGAGGATGTTTTTGTTTTTGGCAGCCATGCCTTCTGCCTGATCCCAGGCCATGGAGGATGGGAATGTGTTCTTTCTTGAGCTGTCTCTAAACTGAGTTTCACCTTTGTATATTTTTGTATTTCAGGTATCATTGCAGAGGGCCGCACAGACCTGTACGTGTCTGAGGCTTTCCACAAAGCCTTCCTTGAGGTGAGCCTTGTTTGGTGCCAGCGTGTTTTGCTTTTTAAAAACAAATATTAAAGGGGAAAAAATAGTTCTGAACCTACAGTGTTCAGTTCTCAGCAGTCTGGGGCTCTGGAGGGAGGCTGGCCTGTGTTCTGCAGAGGAGGAGGAGGTTGAGCCCTCTCCATGCTGCATAATGCCTGCATTTTAATCCCATCTTGTCTCTTGGCTGGCAGGTGAATGAAGAAGGCAGTGAGGCCTCAGCTGCTACAGCTGTCACCATCTCTGGCCGTTCCTTCCCTCTGAACAGAAAAATCTTCAATGCCAACAGGCCCTTCCTGCTTTTCATCCGGGAAGCTGCCCTCAACACCATCATCTTCATGGGCAGGATAGCTGATCCCTGCTCCTAAAGGGGCTGGTAGGGCCTCACTTCTCCCTCCTCTGCCTCAGGAAAGGGAGGTGGGGTATTGCCACTAAGTGTGGGCTGCTCCTGGGGTGCTTGGTCTTGCTGTTTGGTGCCAGCTGCAGGGAGGGACTGCGTCCAGCTGGGCTGTCCCTGCTCCTCCCTGCCATGTCAGTGAGGGGGCTCATAGGTCACCTCACTGTCCTCTCCTTTGTGGCAAGGAAAGCTGAATTTCCTCTGGTACTGGTATTTTTGTGGCACCCAAGTCCAGCATTGCTGTCCTTCCTGTGCCCAACCCTCTGTAACTCTGATCACTTGGTTCATTAAAACCTATAGATCTATATGTAACAGACTGCTCTCTGAATGCACACTTCACACTGAGCCACTTCCTAGACTTATTTAAATTCCTCTTTTCCAACAAATGGGGCTCCACACTGAAAAGGTGAGCGGAACAGCAGCAGCCGTAAGGCTTGTACTGGCTGGGCTAGGAACACCCTTCTGCAGCTCCATGTGGGTGGAAGAGCTGCCAAAAGCTGTGCCCTGCTTGCCAGCAGCTCTGGTGTGTCTGTGTGCCCAAGTGCTGGGAGTCACTAGCATAGCCAAGGCTTTGAAACTCTTTTTTAATGCTAAGATTTCATCTAACAGTTACTGTGGCAGCAGTGCCCATGAACCATGACAGTACCCAGGTAAGGTTACCAGTACCTGTAGCTTTGATAAAAATAAACTATTTCATCTGCAGGTTTATTCCAGGAGCTGAGGTGTCCTGGCCTGCTGCCAGGCCACATGTGATAAGTCCTCTTGCCTTCTCAGGATGGCTGTATTGCTGTAGGACCTTTGGCAGGGCTGTCCTGAAGATGCAGATGTCTCCATTTCAGGCAGCTGTTTCAAACCAAACAGACAGTGAAAGCACAGGTCCTGTTCTCAGGAGGTGATGGAAGTGGTGTGTGCAGACAGTGGGGTGCACTGCCCAGTGGGCCATTTACTCTGGATTTTGTAGGACCAGCAGAATACCCACCTTTGTAAAGGCTTCTCTTGGCAGCAACTGCTAGAGCAGCCAAGCAGTGAGGGAGTTCACTTGGACAGAGCTGGTATGCCAGATCTTTGGTCACTGGCTCTCTAGTTTTGGAAGCTATCAGGGGTTTGACTCTTTCCTGTTCCTAGCAGGATTGTTTGAGCATCTGTGCAAGCAGTGTGTGACTGGGACATGGAGAGCCACCTCCTCCATTGTCCCATGTGCCATGGCAAACCCTGCTCATCTGAGAGGCGTCCCTCAGGGGCTCCTTTAGGTGCATGCTCCCCTGGGGCAGTACCTGGAAAGAAGCTGATGGACTGGGACCCTGGGAGAAAAGGGGAAGCATTTTGAAAATAACAGAGTTCAGAAAGCAGCTCTTCCTCTGCCTATCCCTGCCCTCCTCTGGGAGGCTTTTCTTCCCATCTTCTGCCTGTAAACATCACTGACAGACACACAACCTCCTGTAATTGCTGCCTTTTCCAGCTGTGCCCCAGGCTGTGGACCCGGACACTGGGGAAAGAGGAGGGCTGAGGCAGTGCCTGGGCCTCCCTAGCATGGCATTGAACCAAAATGCTTCCCCTGCCATAGGCAGCTGGGAAAACATCCAAAACTTGCAGCAAGAGCACAGGGCTCATTCCTCCTGGGGAGACTGGAAAGGGTTCAGCCTGCTGAAGAGGTGAGACAAAACTCAGCCAAAAAGGACAGAAGCTATCTGAGTTGCCAGGAACAGCAACCTGGCACTGTGCAACCTCTCTCAAGCTGCTCAGCTTAGGAGAGTGTGCAGGACCAGACAGAAAGTCCAAGTTGGATAAGGACCATTCAGCTATAAGACACAGACAAGGATCTGAGTATTAAACCATTTAATTCTCAAACCACTCACATGCATAATGTTCTTTTACACAGTGTTAAAAGAAAGAAGAAAATGCATTTTTTTAATACAAACAGAATTTCAAGTATACATTTATAGAATTTTCCAAGATTCTTACCCAAGTTGCTAAGTTCTCATTCACATTGTTCTTAAAGCTGTCCAACGAGAGCGCTTTTTGCTAAACTGCTTTCAATGCAATTGTACAGTCCCCTCTACCTTGATTTTATTTCCCCCTTTCCCAACTCTGGTTCCCCTGCCACCCCTGCCCACCCCTTTCAGCAGTGCTGGCTGTCCCTGGACACAATGGCCATGGAATTTTTGTTTGCCAGTGCCTGCTAGAAGAGGAAAAGGGAAGCAGTCATGGAGGGCCAGTTTGGAAACAGCTTGGAAAATCACTGAAGAACAGTCTGATATCCACAAGTTACAGCAGGCTTACTCTTCAGCCTACTCCAGACTAGTCTGAACACTGACTTTTTAAAATTGAAATAAGGACTGCAATTGAAAATAAAATAATAAAAAAAGAATAATTAGTACAGCAGGAAATTTCTTAACTGTGAAAGTAAGTCTTGAGTGTTAGGACACCTGTCCTAAAAAGGTTTGATTTATAGGTCACTAGTTGAAGGTGACAGCACAATTTCTGTTACAAATGGTTACTCTGCAAACCAGCTCAGAGCAGAATCAATGTGGGACACACAAACTTGGATTAAAAAAGAAAAAAAAAACCAAACAGAACTGACGAGGGCTCCATATTCACGTTATGGAAAAAGCCCACAACCCCAGTAACAGCTTTCTCCTGGCTTTGCTGCTCAGCTCAGCCCTGGGCTGCCAGCTGGGTTCTAACTGGGTGCAACTTCTGACCTGTTAAAAAACGGGCTTTAAATCTTCTTGCCAGGCAAGGGTGGGTTTCTCTTGCAAGATTCCAAAGTCTCCTGGCAGCCAGCAGCCCCACGGGTGCTGGGGCACGGCGGGGCTGCTCCGGGCCCGGGGGGCTGCTGGAGGTAGAGCTGCCATGGCCAGGCTCTGGCAGCATTGCTCCCCCCGAGCTGTGCCTGCTCAGGAGCTGCCTGCCTGTACAGCTGTGTCCCCAGCCAGCCACAGCTGTACCCTCTGACGAGTTAAAGTGCATTGCGGCAGAAAAGGGTTTGCGTTTTCATTTTTTTTTTTATTTTTTAATTTTTTTTTTTAAAGAGGAACCTATTTAAAGTGCTGTTCTAGTTTGGAAAGGGACTGTTTAGAAAAAAAATGGCACCTTTTCACATGAGAGATTTGCTCTCTGTATGTATATATATATATAAATTTGCAGAGTCAGATCTGCTGACTAATGAACAACATATAAAAGTGTTTGTGTTTTATCTTATTGCTTTTTTTTTTTTTTTTTTTTTTAACTGCTGCCTTGGAGGCAGGAGGGAGATGGATTCTCCTTTACCTTTGCCACCATTAACTGATTTCCCAGTGCAGGAATGTGGTCTCACAGCTCCGGCCCAGAGGACAGTTCACTGTCATGCAGCACATGGGAGGTGACAAAGTTCTCCTGAACTGTCACAGCCGCATGGCCAACCTGCAAAGGGTCACAGTAAGGAACTGGAGGCCAAGAAGGACTGTGGACCCCAAGGGACTCCCGTTGCTCCTGCCAGATGCCATTTTCATTAGAGTCACTTTACAAAGCAGACTTGCATTTCTGAAACACAGAGGTAAGGAAAACAAATCTCTTTAAAGTGAAAGCTTTGCTGCTAGAGTGTGTAGTGTGGTAACCTCAGCACTCCAAGAGAGAGAGGTAGTTACTGTCCTGTGAATCACTGCTGCTTAATGCAACTCCATTTCTGGAGTGATTGCTTAAAAGAAAAAAAAAAAAAAAAAGGAGGAAAAAAAATCCTGTGCTCTTTATTAAGTTATCCCAGTTAAATCTTTCTGGTGAAGATATACTTCACTATTTCCTCCAAGAGGCTTTTGTATTTTAGAAATTGATTGTCAGTTAAGTTTGTTATAAGATGAAATTTGATTAGCAAATTGCTATACAAAGCCACTTCCTTTGTTAACTCTTAAAATTCTCTCTCCCACTACTCAACTATCCATGCTCTGTTTGGGGGTCACATCCTGTCTGCTCCTGCAGTAGGACAGCATTTCCTGCTCTGAGCAGATTTAATGGAAAAATCCAAAGTTTTAAAAAGAGCTACAGATATCATATTCACAGTGTTGTGCAGGAAAGGTGGGGTGACACGAGGGAAATGAGGGGAGCTCTGGGGACAATGGGGACATAGCTCATAGGAGCTTCAGCTAGTGTTCACACACTAGAGGCTTGGGAAAACTGCATTCATTCCCTTCCCTTTTCAGACTAAAGCAGTGTTTTGAATACCTTGCTTCCATTTCCATGAATTACCATCTGATCCATCTTCTCATCCTTGGCTAATTCTCCCTGCAAGTGTGGGGCATGAGATGAGGAATATGTTACTGCAAGAACACACAGCTGCATGTTATTCTCCTCCTCATTCAGCCTCTAAAAGACCTTATTCAAAAAAGTCTGTTTTGCCACCCAGGGTTGCTCTTGCCTGTCCTAAATGTCAGCCATGTTACCCCCCAACACATTGAACAACACCGCTTCCCTCTCCCTTCCCAATGCTCCTTTCTGGCACTTGCCCTGTGACAGCACAGCCCTGGAAGCTGTCTGGTGGCAGCTTTCTGCCCAGGCCAGTGCCTTAGAGGGAAAGCCCAAGGAAGTAGTTTTAAGCAAAGGGTATGACAAAATTCTACTCTCAATCCCACCTGGGCTGCTTCCCCAACAGCACAACCCTGGCTTAGGAAATCTTCTAAAACTTCAGAAAAGTGCCTGCATGCCACTGACACCCTCCTTCTCTGCACCTCTGGTGGAGATCCAGGCTGTCCTGTAATCAAACATTGACTGAAAGAACACCCTGGGGCTGGGGACAGCCACAGTGGGGCTGGGGCTTCATGCCCCTTCCCAAAATCCAATCTGTCAGCCTGAGAATTGCACTGTCCATTTGTTAGTGTCACCCAGTGCTGCCACCCTCCTCCCACTGGCCTCTTGCAGGCCAGAGCTGTGTTCAGTTACCAATGCACAGGCAAGGAAGGGTTCAAGGAAAGCTTCACAGTAATTCAGAGGTTCCTTAGACATGTAAACTCTCAGAAAACACTCTCGGAGGCACAAACCCCCGTATCAAACCAATGCCCAAGGTATGTAGTTGATGAGCAGAGCCAGGGAAACCTCAAGAAACAGCTTTTAAAACTTGACCAAGTGGGGAACCAATTAATTGGCATCACCAAGTTAAAATTTGTTTCTCTCAGACTAGCTTTGTGACTCCTCCCCTGCCCCAAACTCAGTAGCTCCTACTGGAGTTGTAGCAGAAGACATCCCTGCCCATGGCAGAGGGGATGGAATAACATGAGCCTTAAGGTCCCTTCCAACCCAAACCATTCTGTCATTTGAGTAACTAATTTAAACTGTAAT